TGTACAGTAAAAGAAGCAGCTTTAGCCTTTACAGCTAATTTCCAGCTGTAGTCCCCGGCCAGTTGAATCATTAAGATTTAAAATACAATAAAATACATTTATAATTACAACAGGATTAAGCAAAAGGAAAATAGACATACAGCATGTCACACACAATTGGAGCAGGCACAAACAAAGCACAATCAAAGCAGTTCATGCAATAAAGACAATACTGGGGCAAAAAGAATAATCATAGAGGCCACATTGAAAGCACATACAAGACATAACATGGAGGCAGACAGCAGCGGCAGCAGCAATGACCATGTGACATCAAACACACATATCCCATCTGACATTGATTAATGTGTGCAGTTATAGTTGTCAGACAGCCATGTTTTAAGGTGTGTTGTAAAGGTGGAGTCTCTTTGTATATCTTTGATAGTGGTGGGCAGTGAATTCCAGTTTAGCTGACCAAATGTGCTCTTCCTAAATGGAATTAGAAGGTCACCTCGTGTGGTGCTTCTAGTGATCTGACTGTTATGTTGGATTGAGGAGGAGCGGTGTTATGCTGAATTTTGTAGACCAGGCAGATGTTTTTGTATTTGATAACATCTTCCCAGCCCAGCAGTTTATGGTTATTTAATATAATACAATGCTGTGAACTGTTAGGCTTCTGGTCTATCACTTAGAGGGTTTTCTTGTAGAGAGTAGCGAATGGCTTTAAAGACAAGCTGCTAGTTCGACCCCAGCTTGTCATACATTATCTTTAAAAACATGAACGTTTTTTCTTACAATAACAATACCCAATGTGCTTTTTTCTTCCTCAATCAAACCTTTATTTGCTCAGCAACATATTTTCTGCATATGAAAAATGTATATGTCTGCCCTCTATACATTTAAAATGTTATTAAGGCCGACTAAATAACGTTAATTGAATAGCATGCATGCTCAAAAAAAATCTCTGCCATGTAGCCGTCTTTTTACCCAGAGCATTGGGTGCATAAATATTACTTGTTGGCCTATGATGACATATCAAACATAAAATAAACTGAATACCAAATTACACTTTGTGAACTCTAATAAAAAAAGACCCTGTCGGAGGTCAGACGGGAGCGCAGCCTGGTCACAAGCAGCTTTGCTAGTCGGGGAAATCTGTTCGCATTTACTTTCCATCAGTCTGTCGGTTTCGTATCCAAAGGTAGGGGAATGTCCCGCAAAAAGTTATCCACCTCCGTATCCATGCTTTCAGCGGCGGGAGAAAAGCCATAATGACGAGGGCTGATGTAGGCTGCAGCTCCCGGCACGAGTAACGACGCGTCTCTGTCGCACAGCACCGTATAGTCTCTGTGCGTTTGTTAAAAAACTCAGATGTTTGTGTCGAGGGTCCAGCATCGTTGCAACATACAGCCTACTTTGTAAATACACCATTGCACTGAGGTAAAGGTCATGTGTACTAGTTGCACTTTGCATTTTGGGAATGTTCCAAGACCCTCAAAGACTCCAAGACGGTTAGCTAGTTAACCCACCAACAACATGAGTCATAGGTTGACTTGGAGCAGTGAGGAGGTCAACTATCTCAACAATTGGACAGATAAACATGTTTATGATTTTTTTTTGTTTTTGGTTATGACATCCTACCTAGCCCATCAGGCTGAAACATCGTCTTGCCCACTCCGCACTGAGAGGGACACTCGAGCACATCTTGAGCAGCTGCTCGAAGGCCCTGTGGGATGGTCGCTACCGTTGGCGCCATGAAGGTACTTAAGGTCGTTGCTGAGAGTGTCTCTGCCGCCATAAAGAAACAACAAGCCCCACCGCCTCACCCACGAGGCAGAAACCAGTCATCAAGGCAGATGAGCAGAGCTGCAGCTGGCCTACTCCTCATGGCACAGGACTGGCAGCTCATGGTTGACCTGAGAACCGGCACACATCACTGTGACCAGATATTGTCATTTAGTCAGAGGCCTCAATAACAGCTTGCCCTGATAGAATTGACTGAGCCTTGGGAAGACCGTATTAAAGAGGCTTTTAAAGGAAGCTGGCCAAATACCAGGGACTTCTTGAGGATAGCCAGAAAAGGGGGGGGGGGGGCTGCAGATGTTTTGCAGGCCATTCTATACACAGAGTATACACCCTGCTGAGCATGAGAGGGTTGGAGGCAGCAGAAAAAGCCTCGAGGTGGCTGTGGATGAAAAGGAGTTTAGTCGTGGCCTAATGCTGCTGGGATCAGCCTGGACTGAGGGTGTATGTGGTTGCGAGACCTGAAACACCCAATGAACCCAGGAAACATCACTGAAGATGTGTACCAATGCGTGAGGGCTCCAAGACTATGGAACGACCTGCCCGAGGAGATCAGGTCGGCAGAATCACTCATCTCTTTTAAGTCCCTTCTTAAGACACACTTTTTCCGGCGAGCCTTTCCTGATTTTTGTTGATTTTAAATTGTTACTATTTTCACTTTTTGGGATTCCTTTAAAAGAATTGTATGTATTTTACAGTTCTTTTAAAAGGGATTTTACATCTTAAAGTGATTTTTATTCCTTAATCTTGCCTTGTTTATTATTCTATGACCTGCCTGGTTTTATATTCGCTGTCCTTGTAAAGCACTTTGTAGCTTTAATCTTCAAATGTTTGACAGCACTCACAAAAACACAGACGTAAACAAACTTGTGAATCAGCGCATGAAGCAGATGGGCTTTAAATGCTCTATTGGTGTTATGGTTTAACACGTGTCTCTGATAACTGCTGACTTTTAACTGAATTGCATCTGAAGTTGAAAACTGCTGTTGGAAATGAAAAATGATTAGCAAATGTTTCTGTTTAGTTTTTCATTAAATACATATTTTATTAGTTAATTTTGATATTAAAATGAAAATATAAACATTCATGGAAACTGGTGTTGTTTAACACTGGTCACAAACTGTGGCTGAAGGTCTCCAGTTAACAAGGTCACTCTTTATATCGTAACACTGAGCCATGTTGGCAGAGAAACTCTGAGGAGGCCACATTCTCTGAACTAATCCAGATGTTGAACCAGTAGATGTTGTTGAGTCCTGTGATGCTCTCTTCTAGGCGATCTCTCGGCTTACTCTTTTCATTCTGCATCAGAGTGCATGTTGTGACCACATATGTACAAATGGGCCAAGGAGGGAAACGCCCCATTTTGGAACAACTTCCCAAAACAATCCAGATGTGAAAGAACCCTAAATCCAGATTACTAGTGCTTTAAATGGTATTATATACTAAATACTGTGTCCGCAGTGGGCGCCAACATCAACACAAACTGAAAGATCCTCACAGCTGTTTTAAAATGAATATTTGAGAGCTAGTTGGTGAACTATTTTATGAGGACAAAATCCTTTATTTCACAACTCTGGTGTCTACAATGTCACATAGATTCAGCAATGCAAAGGTAAAATATTCAAAATCTTAAGAAACACATTTTTTCATTTATGTTGACAATTTAAGTCATCTTATATTTAGTTCATGTATCCGGTCTGAATCCTCTGAAGAGATTATTTTTGTGCACAATATAAATATCTTGTGAGATCAGGTTGTTAGCTTGTACTTACAAAACAATGATCATGAGCAAACAAGTTGTTTTGTGCGCACAAGTCAAATGCTAACTTGTGCTAACTAGATAAATATGTTGTGCACCGAAGATATGATAATGACATTTTTCACTAGATAATTACGTCATGTACACAAGATAATTGTATTCTGTGCCCAAAATAATAGCTTGTTTAGCAAATAGCAAATTTAAGTTTATACTTTTTGGGGGACTTTAGGGGTTCCTTAGAAACCAGTCCTCTGATGGGATCATATTAATATGATTGTTTTAGATCAAAGTTATTATAATCCTACGCAAAAGTTTAAACAATAAAATTGAAATCCTTCTTTTCTTATTTTTAACAATCAGTTTTCTAAGATTTGATCCATTCACGAACATTGATCTAAATAGTTTACTACCCAGGCCTTTGACAACAAGGCCCGGTTGTCAATTGTGATGTTTGACCCCTTTTACAGCATCACATTACTAATTATATTCAATTGATCAGAGGAATGAGCACTTTGAACTATTTAACATGAACTTGTTTTCAGTTTGGGCGGTGCAATGGTTAGCGCAGCTGTCGCCTCACAGCGAGTTGCCCTGTCGGACAGGAGCCTCTCTTCGTAGAGTTTGCATGTTCTCCCTGTGCATGCGTGGGTCCTCTGGGTCCTCTGGGTCCTCTAGCTTCCTCTGGATAAGACATGCCTGTTGGGTCAATTAGCCTGTAGGTGTGAATGTGAGTGTGGCTGGTTGTCAGTCTCTATATGTCAGCACTGGGATTGACTGGCGAACTGTCCTGAGTGAACCCCACCTCTTGACCAATGACAGCTGGGATTGGGTCCAGCCCCCCATGAAGTCAAACAGGGATAGTTCGGCCCAATCTGTTAACATAGAGGCGGAGTGCTTTATGACCTTATCTGCAATCATCCACCAGAGTGGGATCAAGACGCTTTACTTTTGGGCTTTCATGTCATGCATCTTTGAATACAGTCCCTGGTAAACTAATAGATAAATAATATCAAACAGATAACTTTGGCCCATATGGTATTTTTTTCTAGGCTGCGTAAACATATTTAAATGCAAATAACAGATATGACAAAGGAAACATCAGACAGAGTGTTGGAGCATCAGAGGAACATTTAGCAGGTCAATAGTGTGTGACTGTTGAAATGCTTTCCTGTAATGCATGCAATGAAAGTACCTCGTATTTCACCTGTATACTTAGAAACCCTAAAATGTATAGAAGAGTAAATGTAAGTTTAAGAGAACTGCTAAACTATTAAGAAGATAAAACACAAATGAGCACGTGTAATATGTCAGATGCTGTTCATGACTATATGAACCAGAGGTCATTAAAAATAGAAACAACACTTTACAGTAGACTTCAAATAGAAACTGACCCAATCTCAGGTTGGTCTCGTGAATGTTGGACACATAGAGGATGACGTTACAAATAAAGTGTACACCAAAGAAGAATTAAAGGGACTTTTTACTCAGTTCCACATCATCAGCACCATCAAATACATGTAGTGGCAGTTTATGTACCAAACATACTGTATGTGCAACTACAACAAAGTACAGTACAGGAATAATGAATCATATTTGAGCTACATTGGCAAAACAAATAAAAATAACAAAGACTCATTGATAAGGCATGGTATTAAATAATCCTACAGCATACAAAAAACAAATAACCGTTAACACACTGACGACTACTGACAATCAGCTGATTCCACCGGGGTGAAACAGGTCATAAGATAGCACCATTTAACTAGGAGAGATTAAGGCCTTTAATTAACACATGCACACACATGCACACACAAACACGCACACGCACACACACACACACACACACACACACACACACACACACACACACACACACACACACACACACACACACACACACACACACACACACACACACACACACACACACACACACACACACACACACACACACACACACACACACAGGTGAGTCCATCAATTGATTAAAATGTCATCAACATAATAAGTCACACATCTGCACCAGGTATGAGGGTTAACAGGGTCCTGCTCAACATTGTTGTACCAAGTTAAAGCCTTTTTTTAAAAATGTGTTAACTTAAAAACATGACCACCAACTTTGACCTTTGTCGAAGAAAAAAAGAAGTGACATTTAGAGATGGTGATACTAAATGTGAACGCACCACAATGTGTCCTGAGGATTGAGGTCACATATGGAGGTGACCCTGGGATGCTTTTTGTCCACATTGGTTTGGTTGTGTGAAACACTCATATGTCCACATTTAAGACCACACCCCCCTGGAGTGACATCATCTTTTCGTACCACTGTCGAAAACAGGGGAGAACAATGCTGCCTCCCACCAGATGAGACGGTGATACATTTGTTTTTATATTACATGTGAATGATGGGTCCTTATTCGCATACGCAGCAGCAGCAGGCAAAGTGAGATCCAAACACACAAGTGGTCACTGAAGACACATTACTCAAGCACCGTCCACCTGTGATCAGATCACTAAATTCACAAGTTGTATACAGGGTCTATAAGTCATCTGGTTCACCAACAAGACTGTGAAACACCTTCATGAAAACGAGTAAAAACGGAGATAACAGCCTGCTAAAAACCTACTAGTGGGTGAAGTCAGACCCTTTTAGCCCTTACGCGTTGGCACATCTATGTTTTGAGAAAAACTGATAAGTATGTTGATAACAGTAACATTTAGTGGCTCAATGACTAAAATGGTCTGCAGGGTCCAGATGATGTTCAGCAGCAGCTGTATAGTCATGACAGTTACAGTCTACTGCAGGAGGGGACAGGCTCATAGTAAAGCAGTAAATGAAGCTCTTATGTGTTCAGACCAAAAGATGTACAGCAAGTTAGATTAACAGAACCTGTGAGAGTTTGTTCCTCCAGATATGTTGGACAATCAAAGAGTTAATGTCCCCTCTTCTCTGTGATCTCCAACTGTGTCATGGTGAACCTTTCTGCTGTTTCTCAGCTCAGTTTAAGGCTGGCCAAGTCACAGTTTGATGACCTGTTAGTGAGGATCAGTACCAGAAAGACTTCTCAGAAAGACACCGACTACCAGTGTTTCAGCTGTGGAGCTCCAGTCCATCTGTTTCCACTGAGTGACAGCTACAGTGTTTATAACAAGTCACACTAAAGTCAGCTGAAATCAGTCCTACTTCAGCGCTATGAACAGGTTTGACTGACATTTAAATGACATAAACAGGATGAAAGGATGCTGAAATGCAAATTTTTATAAAGACAAGTCTGGATTCAAGATTTGTCAGGTATGTATTCCAGATGAGAAAACCTTTTTTTTTTTTTTTTTAACGTTCAAAACTATGAAAAATGTTATTATCTTGTGCACACAAATTAGATGCCATGTGCTTACGTAACAATTATCTTGTTTCCACAAGATAATAACATGGTTACACAAGACTATTATGTGTGCAAAATATTATACAATTGCCTGGTGCACACAAGTTATCATCTAATTTGTGCTAACAAGAAATGAACCTGTCAGCTAGATGATAACTTATAAGCACATTACACCATTATAACACGCTGGACTAGTTATTAAGATGACAGCCAAAGTCAAAATAAACTTCATGTGACAGGTTAATGTCATGTAACAGATACAGCTAAATAGTTTATTTAAGCTTAATATTCAGGCCTGTTATGAAATTTTAATTTCAGGTTGTCATTATAAAGACATCCTTAACAAGGTCTACTTTGCATTGAAGGTGGTATAATTGACTGAATGACACTTGATGACAACATTCATAAACATTCATAAAGCCTCCTTCATGTTAAGGACAGGTGTCATGTCAGTCCTTTGTATACCCCTTCAAATAAAGTGTAACCTATTTATTTTTTTGTACTTTTTGTGACTTTAGGGACGGCATTGCCTCAGGTAATCACGCTGGAAAAGACTTGCTGCATTTCTGGTCTGAACACACATCTGGATCCTTGTTTTTCTGCTTTAACAGGATACTTGACGTTGGATTTGTTATCTGCCAAAGTGTTCATGTTATGATTACAGCAAAGTCAAGGGAAGTGAGTCACTGAATCTTAAGGTCACATGTCAGCAGCCTTGTACATCAGACTAAGTACTACAAAAAGCCGAGCAGGTGAAAAAGTGTCAGTTCTCTCTGCTCAGACTGAACCCAACATTCTTACCGCTAACTGCAAAACAAACAATTTGGCACAGATGGTGATCCAAGAGATGACTAAAAAAATCCTTAGGTTAAATCTGAGTAATAATATTTGCAAGAAAAGTGAGATCACCGACTTAAACACAACAACCACGTACCCTCAAAGTCTCTGCTTTCTACACCAGTTTGGTTGATAGGCTGTATTCTTACAGTATTTCATTATGCATTAGCAAAGAATATAATAATACTTGAGTATCATAATTATATTATATGTAAACAATTTAACTTGTTTTTTTTTTTTGAAAATGCAACATTTGACTATAACACAGTACAACATAGTAATAATAAAGGAGGGAGAGACAGAGAAGTCTTCTTTCTAATCGAGCACATATTTTCAGTCATTCTGTGCAATAAATCCTCCTGAAGTGGAATTCTAAATACTCCCCTGTTTTGTTTTTTTTGGTGTACAGCAAAGAGAAAAATAGGACATTTTCAAGTCTTCATCAAAATTAGAAGCTTATGAGCCCATTTTAAAAACGTACACTTTCATGTACTGGCTTTTTTTCTTATTTAAATACAAAAAGTTCCATCTGTCATTAACTGCTTTTTCTTATAACGTTTAACAATATTATAAAACATTTACAAAAAATGGAACGCTATTTGGAGAGAAATGTGGTCATTAGCTCTTGTGCAGTATTTTCTTGGCGTAAAAGTCCCTACAGGTGTCACAGCAGCGCTGGTACCACCTCATGTCCTGGCACAGGTTCTTCTCTCGGACCACGCGACAGTACACCGTCCACTGGTCCCCCAGGCATTTGTAGGTCAGAGCAGCTGTTTGGGAGGGAAGGAAAAGGGCAGTGAGTCAGTTTTGAAAGCTTTTTAATTGCCCTCCGAGAAAAACAACACTAGTATGTGTTACTACCTTTGGGCATTATTTTAATTAAAATGTTTCATCTCTTTTTTTAAAGGTCACATATTATCAAGTTTAAATAAGTCTCAGAGCTCCTCAAAACATGTCTGTGAAGTTTCTTGTTCTAAATCCACTCTGATCCTGTATTTGATCATGTCTATAAACCCCTCTATTTCAGCTCTGCTCAGAACAGGCTGTTTCTGTGTCTGTACCTTTAAATATGTAAATGAGCTGTGTCTGACCACGCCCCCTCTCTGGAAGGGCTTGGGTGTCTCTGGCTTTCTCGCTCCATCACAGTTTACGGTGAGAAGGCAGACTCAGAGGGCAGAACAAACACCTAGCTGTGGGAGTGTCACTCAACTGGGGGAGGGGTTACTGCCCTTTGTGATGTCATGAAGGGAAAATCTCCCACAGCCTTTTTGAGCACACATTTTTCTGAGAAGTGGAGCAGGCAAAAGATTAAATGTTTTATCTCTCATCAAGCACTTTACCTGTTGTGTGTATTATTCTTGTAAGAACATCAATGAAGTTTATCAGTGAAAGTCAAAAAAGGAAAATAAAGAAGAAGAATCTGTCCGGGAGTGAAAAAAAAGGAAGAGGGAAAAAGATAATGACAAGTATAAGAGTAAGTGACAGAAATGCTGTTTAGCTAAACTCACTGTTGCTTATGATTTGTTGAATTTGTTCGTTACATGCCTCAGTAACAGATTGGTCCTGATTTAAATCTTTGTTGACTGATAACCTTTTTGAGTTTCTTCATATCTTTGCTGCCTCTGACAGAAAATCTATTCAGACTCGTTCTGAAGGGCTGCTTAGGCACTAGCTTCTTGTGAGTTAAGACAGAACATGTCAGGGGACATAAAATATGTGATTTTAAATCAACAAAAAGAAAATGGATTTCCATCTGATCCGATCCTTGTTTGCAAAATCTTGTGATCCTGATTGATCTAAAATGTAACCATAAAAGCTAGAACATTCAGATTTTTTTGCAAAAGAGAGCTAGCTTTTTAATCGTCATGTAAATATATTGTATTTCTGGTGAGCACACAATTTGTGTTAAGTATTACATGTGATAAATACTTGATTCTGATTGGTTAGAAGAGAGAGAGAGAGGGAATCGACATGCGGGAATGGACCCACAGGTCGGATTTGAACACGGGCTGCTCGCTCTTTAGCACTTTAGCATCAGTACATAGGGCGCATGAATGAACTACTAGGCTACAGGAGCACCACATTGTCTTTTCTTAAGTGATTTTAAGGAAAACGATTATGGTCGAAGCATAACTATCATAACAGTACATTACCTTAAAGGCTTTCTATGTGATTTTTCACACTTAAATATAATATAAATCAAGTATATCCTCTGAAAATAACTCTGTGAGTCATGACTGTCTACAATGGGTGTAACACCCGAGTCCCACTGTTTGTGATGTTTTCAGAGTTTTCAGAGTCCTATCTTCAGTTTGTTTACATCGCCAGGACGGCCGGCTGACTCCTCCCCTCACGTATAAAAGTTGTTTAATTGAGGGACTAGAGAAAAGAAGAATAACATACTGTACTCACTGCTTAACTGTGTTTCTAGATCACGCTCATTTCAGGTAAATTTACATGCAGTGTGAAGATACCAGCATAATAAAGATCGCTAGCATTAGCATGCTAACACAACAATGCAGCGCAAGTTGTTTTGGTTTCATGCTGGTGCTCAAGGGCGACATCTGCTGGATCAAAAAATAAAGCCTCATATAAAGCCTTTAAGGAAAAACAGATTTGAGGAATATGAAGCTTTTGAAGATTGTCTGAGTGATGACATCACAATAAACAAAATACTAATATAGGCAGTGGAAGACCATTTCTCTCACAGAGTTTTAAGAGTTATGTCTGAGTTATTTTATTCCTTTTCATATCTATTCAGCAGATTTCTTTGATATTTAAACTCCAGAATCAAGTAAAAATATTTAACTAACAACAGGCCTTGACCACTTGTATCATTTCTCTTCTATAAATGCCTTTAATTCTACACAATGATTATCACAGTGGCGGTTCTTCTGGTCCCCGGTCACTGAGGATCAGCTGGTCTGTTTGATTCCTGCAGGGTTTAAAATGAAGCTCTGCGTCTGAATGCTGTGACGGGGCGTGTCTTACCGAGCCTGGGAGAGGTGATGGTGTTCACGTTGATTTTCTCGTTGCAGGTCCCTTGGTGACAGGGTCGGTAGGTCGGTGGTCTCAATGTCGATGGACAGTCGTTACCATGACGACCGGTCACTTTGTGCATGCACTGAACCACTCGGGACTGCAGGCCCTTCCCACAGGATGACGAGCACTAAAACAGTCACATAAAAGGTGTCACATCTCTTTACTTTTACTGGGACTCCCTCGAGGTCGACTCAGAGGCTTCATATATCAAGTTACTATCAACATGATTTGATCTATTTATTTAGCCTGGTTTGAACACTAAATACAGCAGGGGTTTTAAGATTTGTAAAGTGTTTTGCTTTGCTTTACTTGTAGAAGGTCGACCACTGGATTAACCTCATTTTGTATGTCATGTCTGAATTCATCTTCCGGAAGAGATAATAACATCTTAAGTGAGGAGGCGTGGTTGACCCCGTTGCTAGGTATGACACATTTTTTTCAGAAGCTGTGATTGGTTAATCAAAAAAAAAATTACAAAAAAAAGAAAGTCATAAAATCTGGTCAGACATTTGTAATTATGAACAGTATGAAATTAGCACATGTGTGATAATATGCTGGTACAGAAAAAAATTCAGAGATGGATTGAAATGTCTGCACAAATCATTTTGTCTCATGGGCCCAACTATGATTCAAAAATACTCTTAATGTAGTGAGTGATAAACATTTCTTAATTTTCCCCTCAGCTTGAGAAACTCTTCATCCTGTTAAAAGTCACTGCTTACAGTTTTACACCTTAGGAGCTCTCTTAAGTGCTGAGACACTTACTGAATAACTGTCATCTTTACAAGGATCTAGTCCTACCTTTGGGAGGAAATTCGAAGAAAATGTCATGATTTTAAGAATTTTCGAGGAATTTTGTCACTAGGAGAAACTCTGAGTACTTAGGAGGCTTTGTGAATACGGCCCCAGGATTTTAAGATGGACAAATGTTCCTTTTCAGCAGTGGAGCATTTGTCCATCGGTCTCCACTGAGAGGCAGATTCACTGTTTCCTGCAAGAAACACATTGTCAGTAATCTGGTTTACTACAGCGCCTTATACCCAAGTGCACCGACTTTTCTGTGACTCTGTTGGAATAAACGTTTGAAGAGGGTGCCAAATTAACTATTTCATGAAAGCAACATGGGTATCATGGATCCTGTAACGTTTTTGTTGATTCAGTTTCTTCAGATGTCTGGTCCTTCTCCAGGTTTCTGCCATTTAAAATTTTGTATTTTTTTTGCTCAAGCTGGATTCATGTTGTGTATGTCCAAATACAAACCAAGGAGCATGGTAGTCCTACTCTTTATATAAAGTGATTGATTTATCAATGGAATAATTGACTGTTAACATACATTTGGGAGTATTCTCTTTGCTACTCAAACAAATCTATCGTGATCAGAGTTTTTCAACACATGACACTGTGCATTAGCACTAGAAGTAGTGTTAACACTACTGCAGAGTGATGCCAGTAAACCATAAGAGCTTCCAAACTCACTGCTCCCCTCGGTGGATGGACAAAGCAAGACAAAGACGAAGTGGGAATCAAACCACATGTCTGCTGCAGCTGTAGATGAAGCCTGCTGGTTTGAAGATAGACATACCTTGGACCAGTCTCCCGTCTTCCATTCGTAACATTTGGAGAAGTCCTCACAGGGCTCCTCTTTGGTGGGCTGGGACAGGGGATCACACAGACTCTGAGGGTTTGTACATGACACTGTCCGTCTACGAACACCTTCACCACAGCCCGACGAACACTGCAGGAGGAAACGGATGAAGAGGAAATAAAAACAGGGACGGAGAAGAAAAAGGAGTCATTTAGGTTCAAAGAGATGTTTATACAGAGTAACACAGTTGGCTTTGTCTTTTTGACAGCACCTTTAATTTCACTGAAGAGACAATTATCATGAGAAGATTTTATTAGGCTTAAGAGCTGCAAGGGGAAATTCCAATTAAAAAAAAAAACCTGAGCAGGTTTTATGTGGTTTTAATGACAAGTCATAAAAAGATATATTATTATATTATATATATTACTGCTCCTGTGTATATAGATTTTCTAAAAAAATATATTTGTGAGAAAAGTGAGATCACAGACTTAAAATAAATAAAATAAAAAATAAATAAATAAATAAAATAAATAAAATAAATAAAATAAATAAAATATAAATCTTTAAGGGCAAATGTGCTGATTAAAGTATACGCAATAAAAAATCCTGTTTTGTGACATTACAGACTCAGATTGTTATCGTTAGACTTTTCTTAGACCAGAAACAGCCATTACATCACTCTCCTCAGAGCCACCACACTCCATTGACAAAAACAGTGATTTATCACAGGATTACCACTCCCCTCCTACTTATGTTTTCCAATATATTTATTATATATATATGTATATATATATATATATATATATATTTGTGATGGATCTTTAAAAACCCTTTACCAAAGTCACACATTAACACAACCAAACGAATGAGTCGAGCAGCAGTTGACATGCAGCTTCCTTGTTTTACGAGGTCAAATAAAACATTTTGTCAGAGGAGTCAGGTGGCTTTGAAAAGCACACTAGAACGTTCGTTTCTGGATAAACAAATCTTATCCTAACAAATAAAGTCTGACATGTTGATGTCATTATACAACCCCATTTTACAAAAATGTTGGGACATTTTTGTAAAATGTAAATAAAAAGAAAATGTGATGATTGAGAAATGTCATTGTTTTTCAAAAATAACGTGCCCATTTTGAATTTGATGCCAGCAGCAAGTTTCCCAAAAAAGTTGAGACAGGGTGATGTTTACCGCTCTGTAGCATCACTTTTTCCTTTTACTGCTCTCTATAAGCATGTTGTTAACTAAAGTGAAAGTTTTTGTGCGTAATATAGGTTTTCAGATGTTCAATAGTTCAGGGTTTCCTTTGTCTTGTTTTATGTTTCATAATGCTCCAATAATTTTCAATAGGTGACAGGGCAGGACTGCAACAAGGCCAGTTTTTCACCCTGACTCTTTTACTGCGGAGCCATGCTGTTGTAATACGTGCAGAATGTGGGTTGGCATCATCATGCTGAAATAATCAAGGCCTTCCCTGAAAAAGAAGATTGTCTATTTGGCAGCATATGTTGCTCCAAAAAAACCTGTATAGATGGTTCAGCAATAATGGAAATGTTGTCATGTTGTCTTAGTAATATCTTAAAAGTGGACACAACGTCCCACATTTCTTTTTTAAATGGTGTAGTCGTTACATTTGCAGCTGCTGGCTGAAGCAATCTACTGAAGCAAATAACACAAAATTTTACCTTTAAAGGCTTTCTATGTGATTTTTCACACTTAAATGTAATATAAATCAAGTATATCCTCTGAAAATAACTCTGTGAGTCATGACTGTCTACAATGGGTGTAACACCCGAGTCCACTGTCTGTGATGTTTTCAGCGTTTTCAGAGTCCATCTTCAGTTTGTTTACATCGCCTGGACGGCCGGCTGACTCCTCCCCTCACGTATAAAAGTTGTTTAATTGAGGGACTAGAGAAAAGAAGAATAACATACTGTACTCACTGCTTAACTGTGTTTCTAGATCACGCTCATTTCAGGTAAATTTACATGCAGTGTGAAGATACAAGCATAATAAAGATCACTAGCATTAGCATGCTAACACAACAATGCAGCGCAAGTTGTTTTGGTTTCATGCTGGTGCTCAAGGGCGACATCTGCTGGATCAAAAAATCACATAGTAAGCCTTTAAATCATGTAGACCCATGTTGAAACAATTAAAAAAAAAGAATCTCCCTTGTTTCCACTTATATAAACCCTCTAAGGTTATCTCTGTGTGTCCAGAGGACATGAGCTCAGCATGTTTGGTACCTTGGACCACTCTGAAGCCTCCCACACTGTGAGGCACAGTCGGCCCTCACAGCCCTGAATCACCGGGGGTTTCCCTCCCTGGCAGTACAGGTCTCTGGTGTGGATGAGGGAGCCGTTCTGCAGGTGGTACACACAGGCCACCTCCCTCTGCTGCAGACCTTTACTACATGTGACGGAGCAGGACCCCCACTCTCCAGTCACCCACCTGTGGAAAAAAAACACAGACAGTTTTTAGAGACGTCAGACGACGAGTCTGAGGTGACAAATATATTTTTTAATTTACTCAATTTAATTTAAAACAATAAATAAATAATAAAGTATATCTGCAGATCACAGCATTCTTGCTATTGACAGTGAGATTTGTAAATAAAGATAATGTCTCAGATGGTAACAAATACTGAAACTACTTGAAATGATGCAGCTTTTTATTTTACAGTCTGTTGTGTTCACATACAGAAACACTTAGTAAATAAAAAGGAGTGCAGGTTTACGTTTCTGTGAACAAGAGTTTGTTTGAATAAAGAACCTGAGTCAAGTAGTAGTCTTTGTTGAGTTGAATTCTGTTTAGCAAAACGACAGTGTGCAATAAGAACATTCAGCAGCGAAGATCAAAGAAGACGAAGAGAAAAATACGCTTTTATAGTTGAATCAAAAGAAGGGGGTGGGGGTATCAGTAACCCCTGTTGTTGGGCAGATTTAAGAGTCTAATGCTAAACATAGTCTAGACAGTGTTTGTGTCTTAGTTGGAAGAAGGGCAGAAGGTCATACAGAGGTTTTCTTGTTAAAAAAGGAAGTTCATGCAGAGGTAATGTTTTCCTCTCCTCTGAAGAACAGAACCTGTGGGGCAGAGAGGTTGATGATATTTCCATGACAATGTCACTGCTTGTGTAATTATTATTGGAAGTGTAGCGATGTGTACATAGGTCTATATAGCCTAGTGATAAAAAAAATGAAGGATGTGATCTTCTTTACTATTCACCACTGCACTGTTTCATATTTTGTCATGAAAATATTAGTCTTTTATTGTTGATATTTAATGTTGTACCTGTATATGAGAGAGCACAGAGTCACTGTTAAATTCCTTGTGTGTGTAAGCATACCTGACCAATAAATCTGATTCTGACACATCATTGATATTCATGAAGAATCCTTTTGATTTGTAGTGCGGTTAAAAAGCACAGCTTGAGTCACAGCTAGCTGAGAGGAGAAAAGTTATCATAAATATGTTTTTATGTGAGATCTGAGAGCCATCGCAGCTCTACTACTGATACATGTTCAGGACAAGATCAGCAAAGCGATAAGGGCCACCGCTTTGTCTACAGGGGGCGCCAAAATCAATACAAACGGAAAGTTCCTCATAGGAGCCTTCCAAGAAGTGTGCAACCAGAGCTGAAAGATATGCACGCCATTGAGTTGATAGAAGTATTACAAATGTATAACAATTAAAACTACAACATCTGTAATTTTATAATCAACACGTTACAGACATAAAGACAGAGAGCTTATGTGAACTTTGTTTTCTTTAGATTTTTCTTTTCTGTAGGCTGCATTTTGTGTCACTTCTAAATGTTTCAGTATAAACAATACATTTTGCTTCTGTTATTTCCATTTCCATCTATATTAAAAAGGAAATAATCTTCAGAAAAGGTAAAGGGGTAATAATGGATTGGAAGTGTATAAAAATTTAAATTCTGGTTGGCGTTTTTTTGTTTTGGATTTTGAAAATTAAAAAAAAATCAGAGAATCGAAAAAGACGAGTACTTTGAGTTTTCTGTTGTATCTTTCATCACAAGAATTTCACTGATTTACACAAGTTTAGGTTTGAGATTTGTTGATTTTTTTAAGCTGAGGGTAAACCTCTAAATGGCAACATCCGTGACAGACTAGAGTGCCTTTAGCCTAGTGGTTAGTGCATCCGCCCCATGTACAGTGACTGTAGTCCTCCAAGTGGGCAGCCCGGGTTAGTATTCAAACCTGTTGCTCCTTTCCCACATGTCATTCCACACTCTCTCTCTCTGTCTCTCTCTCTCTCTCTCTCTCTCCAAATTCTGACTCTATCCACTGTCCTGCCTCTTAATAAAAGCACAAGAAGCCCAAAAAATAAAACTCAAAATACATCGCATACATTGATCTTTTATGCTTTTTTATGTCCTTGTCATGTAATCTGATGAACGTTGTTAGAAAAAAGTTAGTTCAAATGGCTTAAGCAAACAACTACCCTGAACAGTCTTACACTGCTCTGACATCATCAACGAAACACAAAACAGAAGCTTTCAGTGTTTTCCATTTGAACAGGATTCTGTGAATTATATTTTCATATCGGTGAGTACAGTTTTTGAGCAAAAGTCAGCAAAATGATAGAGTACTTTGTAAGTGTAATTGGATGAAAACTACTAAAACGTCTTCCATCAGGACGTCATCAGGGCTCAAACAGGGTGAGAGAGGTCAATATGCTTTATGTCTGAATGTGACAAATCTACAGTATGACTCAAAGCATCACTTCTGACAGCGTTACATGTTGCTTACACACTGACACTGAAAGGGTTTACTGACAGCATCCAGTGACACGCTCGCCATCAGGCTCTGATTGATTGACAGTTAAAAACCTCAATATATCAAATGTCTTCTCAGAGTTTGAATGAATATTTACATCTGTGTTCAGAGCAGCTGACACATTCACAACCAACCAGAAAATTCCAGAAATACTGTGTGTGTGTGTGTGTGTGTGTGTGTGTGTGTGTGTGTGTGTGTGTGTGTGTGTGTCTCACCTGTACTGGCAGGGGTGAGAGTTGCAGTGTCGTATTTGGGGATGTGGTCTGTTCTCAGGTTGACAATGGCTATCGTTGACCACCTCCATGGTTTTATTGGCTATCCTCATACAGGAAACCACTGTCCTCCTTTCACCTGCACACACACACACACACACACACACACACACACACACACACACACACACACACACACACACACACACACACACACACACACACACACACACACACACACACACACACACACACACACACACACACACACACACACACACAAACATGTTGTGGTCAGCACTCAACAGTCTGGGGTTTTAGAACACACATTATTTAGGGTCACATCAGTATATTTAAATCAGACAATGATGCATCGATATTTCAAGAAAATGTTTTTATCTTTTTTTGTCATGTCACATCCCCGTCCTGTCAGAGTGGCTCACATTTAAATAATTGTGACCATTTCTCAAGGACACTCAAGAAATGCAGCTTTTTGCACTTCTGCAATGGTTGTGTCTTCAGTCATTCCCCACTCTCTCTCCTCCCAAAATGTCCCGTCTCTCTTCAGCTGTAAATGGACTTCAGCTTGTATCACGCTCTTCTAGTCTTCAAAGCGCTTTTACAGGTCACACCTACACATTCACACCACGCCCACACACTGATGGCAGAGGCTGCTAAGTGTCCATCAACTAATCCAATAATACACATTCAGACGCCGCCGATGAAGCAAGACGGAGCAACTTTGGGACACATCTGACATGTTGGGCGGCAGTAGCTCAGTCCATAGGGACTTGGGTTGGGAACCGGTTCAAGTCCTGGAAGTTGGTCTGGTAGCTGGGGAGGTGCCAAGTCACTTCCTGAGCACTGCTAAAAATTAGAACCCTCTGACATTCCAGTTCAAGAGTTGTGACAAAATGGCCCAAAAAAAATGAACTTGGAAAAAAAAATCTGTACTTTCTTTTTATTTATTATATTTCATTATTTTGTGACAATACGCTCAGTATGATATTGATTATCAGTGAAATTTATGTTGTTGTTTTTTCAGAATTATTGATCCCTATTTGGCGTTAAGCTGCCAGTGTTTTAGTTGACGTCATTGCCAGCAGCCGGTGAGAGAGCGAGTAGTGTCACAATTATTATTGTTGTGCCAAACGACTGCACTATATATTCCACTACAGAAAACTTCCTTAAAGAAGGAATGAAGGATGAGTGTGTGATTTTTGGACACAAGCAAGGTTTCAATCATCGCAGTGATATATTGATTATTAAACACAACCATATCCCATGCCAGTGGTTCCTAAAGTGGGGGGAACCACCCCGAGGGGGGGTCGCTCTTTCACAGTGAACAGTTTTTACATCGTTTAACTTCTTCACCTGTTTTCATCATCTCCTTTATCCCCCAGTTTGACTGAGGTCAAGTTAAATGTACTTTCAGGAGATTGATATGATTACAGTTAGTCCTCCAGAGTCTGTGATTGTCTGTTCTTATATTTATACATCTATTCCATGGTGTGGATTTTTGAGATATTGACAAACTAGATCCATCCATCCATTATTCATACAGTTCTGGTTAATTTATTCCTGTTGTTTCTTATCCATCATTGCACTACGGTCACTTTATTTATCTCATTTTTACCTTACAGTTATATTGTATATATTAGTTCTGTTGTTCCATTATTCACTATGCACCTTATTAACTTATCATTTAGTGTTTGCCTACTTGCACATAGCTCTGTATATACATATTTATTTCTCGTTTACTGCACATAGTTCTGTGTACATCTGTTTACATCTGTTAGTCCGATCACTGTCCACTTATATCTACTCTTTTATATTTTGTATTTTTAAGTTTAAGCTTTAAGTTTATTTAAATTGACACTTTATATTTTAGGTTCAAAATGTTTCGTCTACCTGCACTGTTGTTAATTTACTGCTCTGTGTGCCATTGAATTGCCCCCCCGTGGACAAATAAAGTTTTTTGAATTGAATTGAATTGAATTGAATTGAATTATCTATACCGCTATTCCCATTTGGGGTTGCAGGGGGGCTGGAGCTGTAATTGGGCGAGAGGTGGTGTACACCCTGGACTGTTCACCAGTCCATCCCAGGGCTGACATATAGAGACAAGACAACCAACCACACTCACATTCACACCTATAGGCTAATTTTTGATTCCCAAATGAACCTAAGGAGCATGTCAGAGAGAGGCTCCTGTCCGAGGGGGATTAGAACCAGGAACCTCCTCGCTGCCACCACTGCACCACCATGCAGCCAGATGAACTACAGTAGATCATTTAGATAAACATTTAAACCATGTAAGAGGACTAAGTGAATATAAAATGATATAAAAGTATTAAGTTTCATATTTAAAGTACAATCTGAAAGCTGCTCCCTTACTGAATACTTTCTGTGATTTATAGACAATAATTTGCGTTTCACTTGACAGACAAAGGGCATGTTCTTCTGTCTGTGTGTGTGTGTGTGTGTGTGTTGCTGGTAGAGACTGTCTTCATGAATCAATCTGCATCATTGGTTTCTCCTGTGGAGTCAGCTGTGTATTTACAGAAGCTGATCAGCTGCTTACCATGATGTCAAATCACACACGTCCATTGGGATGTGAAGCAGATAGTTAAACTCTAATCCAGCATTAAAAAGAGATGAAGTGAGCAGTGGTGGGCCCCCCCACCCCCACCCGCTGCTCCACAGACCACTAATCCACGAACACCTGACCTCATCTCCTGGATGAGAGCAGTCGACTGCGACTTCAAAGTGCTCCTCTCACATACATGTGCTTTGAAATATTTTGAGCGCTGGATCCCAATATTACAAAGAAACAAGAGGATAAGAGGAGCTGCTCGGGAGATCAGCAGCAGGGTGCCTGGCAATTAGGTTTGCCCTCTGCTCCCTGTGTGTGTGTGTGTGTGTGTGTGTGTGTGTGTGTGTGTGTGTGTGTGTGTGTGTGTGTGTGTGTGTGTGTGTGTGTGTGTGTGTGTGTGTGTGTGTGTGTGAATGTGTGAATGAGAGAGATAGAGAGAGACAGAGCTGGACCCCTGCTCTGTCTAACATGCTGTTGATAATTGGCTCGGATTAGCCACTGGCTGTCTCTCGGTCCAAACTCTCTGATATCCCCCCCCCCGTCCAGTCCAGTCCAGACATGGCTCCAGTCTGCCCATTCACCGCCGTCGCTCCTTACAGGGGGAAATCCTGTTTCATAAACTGGGCCCTAAAGTACAAACACTTCTGAACTTACTACAGTAGAATACAGCCAGCAGCTAAAAGACAGCCGGTTTTCTGGCTGCACAATAATCCTTTAAGAACTTGTGACTCGAGTCGGACTTGAGCACTGATGGTTCGGACTTAGACCCGGGCTCGAGCATTTACTCCATTCAGACTCTGAAGATGGAGGAGTCTTCAGAGACTCACTGTGGACAGCCCCCCTCACTCTGAGACCTCTCCATTAGTGCATTAATAAAGTATAAATGATTATTATTATAATTTCAAACTCCTGACAAGACAAAAGTATCTATCATAGTCTTAAGTTAATAAATGGAATGTGTTTTAATTTTAGATGTTAAAAGTGTATCAGTCCTCACTGGAGAGCCTCTAAAGAGAGAAATGGATCATTAAATTATGCACAGAGTACTGATGTACAGAGACTGTGTTTGCTCTGCAGTGCAGTTAGGGGAGCATTTAACCCTTTGTGTGAGATTTGGGAATTAGACGGTATCTTTTAGTCTCATTCCCACAGGTTGAGCAGGCTAAATAAGGCAAGCAATACATTTCAGAATCAGGCTCTGAGTTTCCCTTGCATGGCAAAAGCAGAAACCTGAAGTGATTGCAACAAAAAGCTAAATGTTTAGACATCATATCTGAAAAAGCCTCTAGTATCATCATAGAGCTCCTCTAGTTATTAACCCATATCAATAACTTAAATTAATATTTTTGTGTTCCATAAATGCATGTTTCTATCTTTACACCGTCTCCCTCACCACTCATGTCCCTGTAAATAACTGCAGATGGCATGCTGCATGCATTGTCCAACACTCTCCTCTCCGCGTATAGCCATGAAGCAGCCCTGCCTCCTGCAAAGAAAAACAACCTAATGAGAGATTGTTCTTTAAGTATTACTCAGTATCCCCACATAATGAGAAGACTATAGTTTATCCAGCAGACGTCAGGTGCAGCAGGATTAGAAATGAAGCAGCTGGAGGCGAGCCCACCACAGCCTTAGTTTGTCTCTTTTATTCATGGTGGATTACAGTTTGTCTATCTGCTTCAGATCCCGTGTAGATCCAGAGCACACAGCGTGGAGAGGAACATCAAACAGCACACAGATGACCAAGAAGACCGACCAGTGCTTTTAGACTGGATGCATTTTCTATTGGAATTGTAGTTTCATTATACCAGAAACGAGACCTGGTCATTATGATTTCCATATCACTTCCACTCTGTTTTATAAGTTTTATTGCATCTGTTTTAAATCTTTGCATTGCTGCATGGTATGGAAGCCTGAACTTGTATAGGCATAGGTTGGGCTTTTGACCTTGTATAATCAGCAGGTCCTGAGGAAAGCTAGGGCCATACTTCACAGTGAGTTTGACCTTTAACCCTCAGGTCGTCGTTTTAGAGCTCCTGTGAGAAAGACTAAAAGACTCCAGGTCTCATTTTTACCAAGTGCAATTCATATGTTAAACAACAATTAGCTATTTGTTGCTCTTTTTGCACTTGAATTGCACATTTGCACATCTCCACTTTTCACTTTAATGACTTGAATTTCCATTCTGGTATGGGCTCTTGACTGATTTATTGTGCTGGTTTTATTTGGTTTTATTTTTTGCTGTGTTGTCTGATTTTTTAATTCGTTTTGGTCCATGTTTATGTTGATGTTGTCCTTGTGTTTCTTGTCTTCTGTGTGCTTCTGTTGCAACGCAAATTTCCCCTTGTGGGAGAATAAAAAATCTGAGTCTGAATCTGAATATTTTATGGAACACAAAACTATTTTGCTATTACACAGCAACATATTAATTCCCATTGATTTGTTTTGCATCATCCATATTCTGGGGTTAGCTACATTAAAACTGGTATAAAAAACCCATCCATGCACCAGGATTTTCACACTACTAGAAGCCAATATCGAGCAAATTGACATGGTACACAGTATGTCACAAGTTTGGTTATCTGTGACGCCAATAACATTGTTTGCTTAATCCAGTGCACTCATACAGTACAGACATGTTGTATTTATGTTCAGCAACAAGTCTGCAGTCCCCTTCAGGTTGAGAGCATATGGTGCACATCTCTAGCCAACTCGTGAAAGTTTGCACCCTTGGCACGTGAATCGAGTTATGCGATAGTTTTGCACACTTCAAATCCATTGTTACGTCTTCAGCTGAAAGGTTGTTTATGTATTTTGATGTTATGCTCGTTGTAAACATGCAGTATGTAAATTCCGCCACCAGGGGGCTTTCAATCAAAACAATAGATGTCATTGAGGCTGGCGGGGAATCATGGGAGTGATTCTCTTTGCTACTCTATCCTTACCCCAGATGAAAACGAACTCTGAGTAGACCGTAGTCAAGACGAAACCGACCCGAGGAAGACAATATGTTTACTGACGATGTATCGCATATTGACATGACGTTTTTTTTTTTATCACAGTAGCACACAGCAACAGGATGGCAGCCTTCAGTAGCAGCTCCTGCTTCCTTATGCAGTGGTCTTTGACGTAACATCCAGTGTTTCCATGGCAACAATAAAGATCTCCTGTCTGCCAAAGACTCGTCCAGTTAAAACTATTAAATTAAGGATTTCTCTGGCTTTCATAACTGTTGGAAATATTTGTGGTAATGGAAGTACTCAAAAACAACAAAAATATAACAAAGTCAATTTTTCATGAATTTAGATATTTGAGTGTAATAGTTGTATATTTTACACCTTTAAGGAACGTTGCGTTATGCTGAGTGCACTTGAGTGTATTACGTTGAATGTGAATGTGATGCGTAGTGTTTTAAAGACTGTTGACACATTGTTGATGTGTGTTTGTGTTAATGTGTTAATTTTAAAGTGAGATGATGTGCTGTGCATGTATGATATGTAGAAACATAAACATTGAATAATGTTCAGTATTGTTCAAATGCATGAGTATTAAAACACTGTGCATTAAAACACTGTTTAGGCTTTATTTGCCTTCTGTTTTCATGCTGCTCGATGAGAGAATAATAAAGTACTTTTGCACCAGTCACAAGCCTCCACTGTTTTACTGATGCCAAGGGCTGCTTGTTTCGTTGTGTGATGAAAGTGTGTTACCTCCTCCACACTGAACAGTGCAGTCCTGCCAGCTGCTGTGAGTCCAGATGTAGAGGTACTCTGGTTCTCTCTGCTCCTCACTGCTCCTGTCCTGAGTCAAGTTCAGAGACACGGTGTACTCATAGTGGATCCCGTAGCTCTGGTCATGGAAAAGCAGCACCTGAGAGGACCACAGAAAAAGGAACTGATACTTACTGACCAAACAATACTTTAATCTGCTTCTGGGATTCTTTACAGAACATAAAATATTTTTAAAGTATTCTTATACCCCAAACCAGCATGTCAAATAAACGCTTAGACCTCTAAAATAGTATTATTCGGTCTGCACATTATGATAGTTTGAAGGTTATGAAAAATAATTAATGAAAGTACTAATTGTTTGCCATTACAAATGCAAAGTCCTGAGAATACATTTTTCACACATGCTACATTGAAGTGCCGGATTCTCTAACAACAATGCAGCAGCTGGTTTGTCCTTCTTCTTAGTTTAGACTCCAGTCCCAAATGGTCTTTTTTTGTTTTAACCAGATGGTTTTAAGGCCGCCCCACACGGACGTTTTACCACTCGCACCTCGGTTTGCCAGGCAAACAGCAAACGAACAGGTGTTCCAGTGATGAATTAAGGCAAGTCAACTGGTTCAGATATAACTGTTTCTACTAGAAGCTAAAAAAAAGCCTCTGCATTTTCTAATAAGCTCCAAACGTGGTAACACCAGGATAAATATTGGAGATGCTTCGAGCGTAGAAAGGTTTAAGACCGATGAAGAGCTGGCTAAACACTGAAGCTTCAGTGTCTGTGACATGGCAACCTGCGTGCACATCGACTCTACGGAGGAGGGGGCGGGCAGAGGGGAGATTTAAATTTGGGATGCAGTACACATTTATTCAATCTTGTTCAATGTTTTTTTTTTTTATGTTGATCTAAACAACAAATGGTGTAAAACCAAAAAAAAACTAGAATTGCAACACACCAAAATTAAATTCTGGAGTTATTAAATAACAAACTTATTGTCAGATAAATTAATGCACACAAAAAATTAAGACACTGTTTGAAGTCTCTGTAGAATAGTTCCAAAGCAAGACACAGAACAAAGTATCAATACGGAGAGCAGACTTTTTTTCTTAATGGACAGAAACTCTTTTAAACAGGAAAAACATTTTCTGTGATAAATGTGCCTGTATTAACATTTCTACACTGATACACATGTGACTTACAAAAGCCCTATTCACATGGGCTAAGTATAACCTGAAGACCTGTTTTTAATTTGTTCATTTTGGAAATAGCCCCCACCTTCAGTGTTCGGTGCAGCACACTCACACTGAATAAGTGGAGGCTGACTTCACTGTACTGACATTTCTGATTGAAAACATTGTTGTGCACCTCACATTTTGCAGGCAACAATGCCTTAATGCTTCTACTGTTTGCCAGTGTTTCCCCTAGACAATAAAAAGCTTTCACCTGACGTCACACACTAATGGACCAGGAGCTCTGTGTTCAGGCTTATTAAGAGACGAGAGGTTATTTAAGCAAATCAATTATCGTTCATGAACTAACATTGAAATAAAGTGGAGATGAAGCACAATGAAAGTATAAATTAACCAACATGTATACATAATGTAATATAAATAGAGTAATATGGATTTTGTGGTTTTTAATTAACTCTTTCTGTGAATGGGTCTCCATACCGTGTAGCAAGATGATTTGGCTGACTTTGCACCCAAATGCTGTCAAAAACCTGTTTACAATGCCCAACACAGAATCCAATATTCTCTAGCAGAAATAGATCTTCTTAAAAAAATGCCCACACCAAAGGCCTGAGATGCCAATTAGGATTGGATTCCTATTATCAGAGGAGCTCTGATAATAGGCTGAAATATGGTCACATGACTGATATCTTTGGTTCTTAATTAGCGTTCATTCACAGATGACCGTGTGCCCATATGAATAGCGATACACTGAAAAAAGTACATTATGATACACTGATAAATGTGTGACTTTATTTGTAATAGTGTACAGTAGCGGTATTGACAACAAAAGGTAACATCATCTTTTCAGGGAGTGTTTGATATTAATCATAAATATATTATAATTATAAGATTCTTGTGCAGCTCTGTCTCCTCCCCTCTAGTGTGTGGAAATGTATTTCTGAAAGTTTTATCTGTGTGGGGCTGCTGGTGCAGATCCTGTGGCTGATTGGAGGGATCAACCAGAATCGCTGCAATCGGATTGGCCAAACCACGACATCCATGCTTTTAAATCTCCTGAATCTCCATCTCCTTTGTGATTCATGTAGGCTTGCTCTTCTGATCATGTGAGTGTGGAATTCAGTTTAGATTTTGATAGATGGACTGTTAGTTTGTAAACACCTTTGAAAAGAGATTCACTGTAAATTTAGAGCACCACACCGCAGTCATTAAAGAGAGAAGCCCTTTTTGTTACTACTTTTTCTACTATTTTTTTTAGCAGATTAAAATAGAAAACTGTCTTGCTTGTGTAAGAGTTTTTTTGCGATGAAAGATTAGGACTTGTTTGGTTCACTAAAACACTAAAACTACTGCGTATCACATGGTGACAGAAAATTACCTTTGGTTAGAGGCTCAAGTCAAAACATTTACACCCAGAAGACTCACATGAAATCATAAAATCATACCAAAAGTTCCATAAATAGGTAATAGCCCACGTTCAAAGCACGTGTTTATCTAGCAGAGGGATTTTACACAAGGCTAGATAAAGACTTCTTTTAAAATCTGAGTTTTTACCTGTGCTGCTGGCTTTCTTTGGAGCCGAAAGAGTGGGGAACTAACATTTTGTTATTGTACCTTGAACCTTGGTATCCTTGAAAAACTAGTTTTTGCTTAACTTCAACTTGTTCAGGGTCAAAACATCTTTGATAAATTCCGATCTGTAATAAACACAGCTCTGAGACAGCATGATTAAGAGTCACCGATGTGATCCTAATGCAGGCAGGTAGAGGTGAACACTTCTTGATCTAACAGCAGCCTTAATACCATCAATCAAACCTTTTTTATTTGACAGATTTTATAACTGGGCTGGCATGTCTGGTACAGCCTGAAGCTGGTTTCAATCATATTTGAGTAATAGGTATTTTAGAGTCTATATCAATAATCACACGTTCCTCCTCTGCTCCTCTGCCGCTCGTCCACTCATCACATCCCAGCCTTCTTTTCTATCCATCGCTCTAATTGTAAAACTAAAGGTGATTTGATGTTTTAGGCCCCCCACCCTTTGGATTCAACTCCCACAATCCATCAGATCTGCAGAATCTTTGGAATGTTCCAAAATGCATCTAAAAACTCACCTGTACAGACAAGCCTTCATGTAACTCTCAAACTCTTCTTGTGCTGAGTGTGTTCCTGTTTTTTGCCTGATTCCTATTTTGCTGTTTGAAATTTTGATTTGTTTCTGTAAATAATCCTCCTTTTTGATTTTGATTTTCCTTTTTTGGTAAAGCACTTTGTATCTTAGTTTTAAAAGTGATATTTTTTCTTTTTTTTACTCCTTTGTAATCTTTTAACTTTTCTAAGTTTTATAAACTTTGAGAACCTTTTGATTTGCTTCTGGGTTTTATGATGCAGTTCTTGTGCAGGGCTTTACATTGTCCACTACTTAACCACATATCACTCATTTTGAACTTCAATGGAACATATGGACAAAACAAACCAGTGTACAGGTTTAGTCATCTGTGATGGCTGTGTTTACCATCAGGTGTAGGGGGGTCTTCGTGGGTCCCTTGGCAGACATCTTCTCCCACAGTCCTCTCCTCACGTAGCGCACGGTGGTCCCGGCCAGCTCAAACTCTCCAGGGAGCTCAATCTTCCAGTCACTGTTGATGGAACTCTTACTCGAGTCTTTGAGGGCTGTAGAGACGACACAGGAGGTCAGAAGAGAGACAGACACACACACATGCACGCACGCACGCACACACACACACAATTGTGATTATTTCTGTTTGTTTTTTTTGTTTATTTGTTTGTGTACACTGCAGAGCATGGAGGGGTTATGGTTGAGTCGGACTGACACTGTGACTTGAGACTTGGCAGTGAGGTTGAGGTGATGTGCTGCATACAGCTGTGTATTGCCAGTCCTTGAGCCTCTCCAGCTCCCGCCCAGTTAGGAGTCAGAGTTTAAGGGCCGAACCCTCTGGATTTTTTTTTCCAGTTGGTAGGATGCGCATGTAGTCATGAGTTTAATGTTGGCCAGATTGATAGGGTCTGTCTGTAATGATACCCAGGTCAATGCCTCATGTGGTTGGGCAGCTGGTGTAGCTGTCCATGTCAAGGAGAAAATTGCTGACTAGAAAAGGTCCTTGAGAGCCACAGCTACATTAAAGGGGTCATAATATTAAAAATCCACTTTCACAGTGTTTTAAAACATTTATTTGGGTAACCTGAGTGTCTACTGACCCACAAAATGTGAAATAAATCCATCCAGTCCTTTGTTTGTAGTGCTCCGTTTCAAATTTGCTCAACTTGTGAGGTGACAAGTGGGATTCTGGTTAAAATAATCCCCTCCCCTCCCCTGCTATCTCCACCCATGGACTCCACCCCCAGCCTAGAACAAAACCTTTGCACAGGTCGGCCATTTTTATTCTCGCTACAGAGGAGTGATGTCTACCAAGAAAAGTTAGGGGGGGGGCTCATTACATTTAAAGAGACACACACACCAAAACGGAGCGTTCTGAGAGAGCTGGTTTATACAGGGTCACAAACCTCCTCTGGTGCTTGATTCATGTTATATTTTGACCAAAGCACAGCACAGATGTTTCATTTAGACCACAGGGGACTGTTTGAAAAGGTGGAGAAGGGGGATAATATGTCCTCTTTAAGCTTGAGCTGGTAGGATAACATCCAGCTTTCTGTGTTTTAAATGCACTTGATAAGGGACTGTGTGGGGAAAGGGGTAGATAGTTAATGAGTGTATCATTGGCATAGAATATAACGCTCAAGCCATGTTAGTGGATGATCTGACCAAGGTGTAGATGGTGACAATGATGGGTCCAAGTACAGAGCCTTGAGGTACTGTCAAGTTGGACTGGGCCTGTGATTGAACTGGAGTCTATGATGGAGACAAAATTCTTCTTTTAGGAGAACTATAACTGATATCAGGTGAGAGATGTGCAGGTGAGGCCAGGGTAGTTACATACGCGGTTGTGAGTGGTGCTTTTGTTATTTTCCCCGGTGATGTGGTCATTCAGAAAAGTCTAAATTTGATTATCTGTCCAAAAGCCCTTTTTTACACAGAGATTCCAGCACAGCACAGTGATGCCTATTGGTGTTAAAGTTTGTGATATTACATCATGGCATTCCTGATGCAAAAAGAGTGAGTCATGTAACAGACAGCATGAATCTCACACTCACCAAGCTGCCACCTGCTCGCTCTGATTTTTACAGTGACATAATTTTGTTATGTTCTGTTACTCCTCTGTTACTACTCTGATGATAGCTTAGCGGTGGAAAAACTTTGACCCTCCTTTTTTGCCTCAGAAGAAGCAGACAAGGCATAATAGAAGTTCAGCTCCTCACTGATGTCCTTAAACACTAAACCACTGGACCGACCAATGCTGAATAGTCAACCTAATCCGTCTGTACAGAGGGCCGGGGAGGACCTTGTGTCCTTTCATGGAGCAAGTCCAAAAAATGATCAAGAGGGTTATCACAACACATTACGCTATTGTGATGTGACTTTTATCTGATTGGTGTTATTTACAGTCAATGTCCAGCACAAATAAAAGCAACATCTGGCTGAGAGTGTTGGGCTGGATTGGTGAACAATGCGATGAAAATGACTGACGCAAGCTCCCTCAAGAGATGAAAGGATCGTAATCAACCTTAAGATCACCTTAAGACAAAGAACAAGCCAGAAGTGGTTGTTGATCATGAAGAAGAAATATTCTCCTTGCTCTTTCCAGTTTAATTGTCCGGTCCTGGCCGTGAATGGAGAGTCCCTCTGGTACAATGGAATCTGGGATCAAAAGGCTTTGGCCCGGTCTCTGCCACCATGGGGGAGGAGGTGGAGCCATGGGTCTTTGGGTCAGAAACGCTATTCATAAGTGGCTATCTTGGGTTTTCATTGATTACTTTTTCAGGCTCTGACTCAAAAAATCAGACGTCTAAGTGTTGTCTCAAATATAATTGGTTCATCTTCTCCTCCGTCCTTGTAAATCCTGTCCTTCAACTCTTAAGACCTTTCTCCCCTACTCCACTCCTTAATGTTTCTTCCTTTCCTAACCTTTAACGTCTGATAGCTTTACCTTTGACCACAAAACACTGACCAGTTAAACCTTGAGTTCAGGTGAACAGGAGTGCCAAATTTGAAAATATTACCTCCAACCATTCCTGAGATATGAACTTCAGAAGAATGGGACTAAAGGACAACCGAAACATTTTAAATCCATCCATTCAGATAACATATTCATGAAAATGAGATCATGTGAATGCAAATTTGGTGTATTCAGTGAGGTGAACGTCAGCAGCTGCTGACACAAACGCTCAAGTTACCTGAGGTCATTTTTTGTTTTATGTCGATTTTTTTAAGCATTATTTTCATTTCCTGTTTTATTTTGTACTTACGCTTGTCTCTGCCTTTCACATTCCACTCTTCCTGTTTTCCCACTTTGTGCTTCCTCGCCCCGTGTCTTGTTTTCCCCTAATCGTCTGTGTATTTAATCCCTGTCAGTTCCCTCATGTCGCCTCATTCCAGCATTCTTTTTCTCTTGAGTTTTCTAGTGCCTGACCTTTGCCTGCCTTTTTGACTTTTCGCCTTTTGCCTGCCCCTCATGGATTTGTTTACTTTGGTATTTTTTGGATTGCCTGTGTACTGACTTGAACTGGTTATTAACTCTTTTATCCCCTTGTCTTTGTATCTGTCTGGTTCTGTTAGCAACACAACAAGAACCACTGGGTTTATGAATACAGTATCTGGAAGATTGTGCTGATCAATTTCAATAAAAAATTAAATCTTCTCAAAGATTACCAAGAAAGCTATGTGATGGTTTGTCCTCCACCACTTTGATCCGTCTGGCTCCTGCAGGGATCACCACGGCCTCGATGTAGCCTGGTGGAAAGACAGATACGATAATAAAACGTGAACCGTTTCAGAGACAAAGTAGTCAAGAGCAACAAAACTTGAACAAAGAAACAATTGAAATCAAAAGTCAGACAAATGTAAAATATCAGGAGGTTTCAGTGCAATGAGGATCTTTTGTCTGACTTTTGAAAACAGATTATTTGGCATACAGAGATGGAGACGGGGGACAGGCTGGTGACTTCTGGGTAACAGAGATGAACTGTCCTTGACCGAGGGCTACTTGACAGTGCTCAAGAAGTGAACTGGCACCTCTTCAGATACCAGACCAATTTCCAGACTTGGTCCACACAGGGTCTTGAACCAGTGTACCCTACCCTAGCTTTTTAAAAGTTAAAAAGATGATTATAAAAAACCTTATCTGCAATGTCCTTTCCAGAAACACTTCAATGTGGCTGACACTCTCTGAAGTATGCTGGGTGCTATTCTCTGCTATAACTGTGTGCATTAGAAGAGTGACAGAGAATGGAAGGACTTTCAGTAATGCAAATAAGCTCCCTGGACAAACTCTCCACCTGGGGCTTGGTTTTTCAAAAGCTATAATTTCAGATACAATGATCTGGATTCGGTAATCCATTATTTTGGAGAAAGGATCAGGTATCCAGTTCACTTTTCTCCAAGTCCATATAACTGGATTGGATCACTACAGACTTTTAAAGGGATACTTGGGGATAATGGGGATACCCATTTGCACTAAGCTTTGTATCATTAGAAACCTGGTAGTATTTTTGAATGGTCGTGCATCCCGCCCTCATTTCCCCCCGAGACTGGAAAGTTCTGTATATTGAAGTCTGAAAAGGAGCTTCCAGTGACGCAAATATCGTCATATTGCATCACTGGAAGCTGTTGCGGTTAGCGGTGTGAAACTACAACACTAGTTCCTCATATTTTCGACCACTGAAGCTACAGACCAATCACAGATCAGTGGGTGGGACCTCACTCCCAGAATCAAAACTTAACGTCCGCCATATTGCTTGGAAGCTATGCTAACAGGCTCTATGGAGAAAGCTGATAATGGCAAAAAAATATGAAAATAGCTGGGCTAGCAACGGCCCCGGCGGCTACTGCTGCGCGCTGGCCGCCAGGGCTGCTAGCGCGACACAAGACTGGCCTGTCGGCAGCAACCGTCTCGCGGCTATATTATATATATTGCTAATAATTTATTTAACATTTCTACTACATATATGATCCAATGTCAATACAGATTCATGTTTCAACGAGGGAAGTATCCCTTTAAGAGTAACAAATCCAGATTACCAGAGTTTAATACTTTGTCCACAGGGGGCGCCAAAAACCACATAAACTGAAAGAGCCTACCAGCCGATTTAAACTAAATATTCTTTGTTAGATATTGATGATAATTGGTGAAATATTTTACGAAGACAAGTAAGGAGGCTGTCGTGTTTCACCTTGACAACAGCACAAACTGAAGGAAACTCACAATCAGAGAAACCTTTAGCAAAATATGTTGAGTTAATTTTGGACTCAGTCATCTCTGCCCCACAGACAGACACCAGCCTCGTCTGCACACAGATTTGAAGGACAAAGTTTTACAGTTACAAACACCAGAATGACTTCATACTTACCCACACATCAGAGTCACACAGTTAACACACCATCAGGACACTTCTGACTGACACTGTGCCACTTTAAGGTGACATCAAACACAGACACATTGACAACACAACAGCAAAACATTTTGAGGAATGAACACAAATGATGAAATGCAAAATGACTCTGTGGACTGTTCAAAACATTCTGCGTCTTTACAGGTCGATGTTAACAACAGTGAGTTCTGCTGTTCGATGGTCAAAGAGCAAACATAAACAGACAACTAAAAGCACAAACATTTAGACAGTGCTGCTCCAACAGGAACACATTTCTTCAGCTGTTAAATCAAGTGATAAAAAGTTGCACTCCTGTATTTGCTAAATTATTCAACACTGGACGTTGTTGCTTTGTTAAATATACATCTAATGTTTATTTCAGGAAAGAATCTAAAGATACCATAACTACTAGCCAAGCAGGACCTCAGTCATTTTTTTAAAGATGCTTAAAAATCAATGCTTTGTCCACTTTGTCGTCCACTCCATGTGCAGATCTCTTTGTTTGCATTTCGAGCATTGTGTTCATTCTACAAAACTTTGTGAGCCTTGTTCTGAAACTGATCCTGCACAGATCTTTTCTCAGGGTTCGGGTAACTCCTCTCCACACAAACAAACAAATAAACAAACACACACACACACACACGCACCCTCCTACCAGCCCACCAGCACCATCCAACAGCCCGCCACCACCCTACACACCAACAGTTACACACAGGCGGCCATGGGTTCACCTGGGTTTACACACAGCAAATACCAAATGTGTGATGTTTATACAGTACTCAAATGTCAAACTTGAAACATCTCTAAGGTTTTATTAGAGTCGACTGTTTTCTCCCCCTCCTCTGCTGGCAGGAGCAGCAGGGAGAAGGAAACACTTTGGATGAAAGGAATGTGTCCCTGGCATAACTCTCGTCTGGATAATGAGGTAACGAGGTCAAACATCTGCTTATGTAACTGTTACATTTAGACTTAACCCAGGGGAGCCCACAGATAACTGTTTGCATCATCTACCTACAGTGAATCACTCCAACAGTGCAGGAAAACACACACACACTTACACACACACACACACACACACACACACACACACACAGTGCATGCACCTTACATGAGAAACACTTGGGGACAGCTCTGGGTTTAGCCATCACACAGGTAGATACCCTCTTACACTGCCTAGTGGTGACTGGAGGACAAGACAAGGAAGTGATCACATGTCCTGTGGACCACACCAGCATGTGCATGCACATGTGCACACACACAAACAACACACACAGGTTCCCATTCCTCTTGGGATTAGGATCCTGGTGCATAGAGAGAGGCTGATCATTTCAATTGACATTAGACTTTCAACATGAGATCAATTTTGAGTCCTGTGTGCGTTAAATATAAGTTACCCTGCCTCTTTACTACCACCCAAAGATATTAACATCATTTCATCAAACTGTTACTGCCAATGGAAAGACTATTCTAGAGGATATTCTAGAGCAGTGGTTCCCAACATTTATTGGCTCATGGCCCCACTTTGACTTCACAAAACTTATAAAACACATTCAGCTTTTTGATCAAATTCATTTGTTTTCAATCATGTAATAATTGCATGTAAACATTCATTTTAGAGCACATTTAGGATTTTTTTTTCCTGCATATTATTGAGCACAGACGAAGAAAGGCTGGGATGACATTTCTGCTCAATGGATGACAGACAGAGACTCTGCAAGTTTCTTGTTTTGACATTGTCTACTGCTCACAGTAGACTGTGTTCAGTATATTTTAAAATACAATATATTTCTTATTGATTAATAAATACAAATTTCAATCGATACCAAAGAGGAATCTAAAGCGCCGTTTTCTGATGTGTTGGCTCACTGACCATGCTGTCTTATTTCAAAGTCGGAAATGAGAACGGCCTTATTGACTTGTTTCTAGAAATCTAATTTTTAGCTGCAGATAAAAAACAAAAGAGTAAACAATATGACACCCAAACAGACACTCACCCATTCCTTTGGTGTGGTTGAAGTCTCCTCTCACGATCCTACAGGAGCGCCCGTCTCCGTTGCACACACCGCAGCGGTCCTCTTTGGCTAAGGAGCCGATGATGCCGTCACAGCCAATTTTCTGACCACAGGAAAAAAACATAGCCATATAGATTCACTGTCTTTAACTGATCCATCTCTCTCTTACTGTAAGCCCGACATATTCTCAGATGTCTGACATGAGCCATGGTTCTGTTGGAGGTTTCTGCTCGGTAGTTTCTCCTTGCCACTGTTCAGACTCATTTACTGACATTGCTTCCTCATTACTCTCTGATGTATGTCGCTTTGGCTAAAAAGTGTCTGCTGAGTGAATTGTAACATTGTAGAATTGTAGAATGTTGCTTTTCTAAATGTTGCAAAGGTCTGTGCTCATGGTTGATTAATGTTGGGTCTTTGTAAATAATATAATAAAGAAAAAAAAGAAACAATAAAATATACTGTCTGCAGGAGGAAAGCTTGACATTACGTGGTGTTCATCAGAAGGTGGTGTTAAATCTTGAGGAAATCAATGCACCAACAGTTATTTGCCTTTTTCACATAAATGCAGATTTCTCCCTGATACACTGCAGAACAGGTGAAATGATTTGAGTCCTTAATTTTTCTGTGGTTGCTTGGATGAAACCAGGTATTTTTAATGCATATAATTACCGTCATTAAAGCTTCTTGGAAGACCTCTTGGTTTGTGTCGATTTTTGCACCCCCTTGTGGACAAATATGTATGGTCAACTCCCTTTGCTGCTCCTGTCCTACTTTAAGAAACTCCTCGCTGTAAGGTCAGAGGTCTTTCCTGAAGAAAAAAAAAACCTGTATGTGCGCAGAGTTAACTAGCTTATGTTTATCTACATTTAGCTAAAGGTAGATATAATGGTGTTGTTGAAAGTTATTGTACTATTTGACTGACTTTGAAACTAATATTTTAAGGTGGAAAAGTTAGATATTGCTGCTTTAAAATAGCAGAGGTTAGTATCATTGTCAGAATCCTTCAGTCACTTCTGTGGCCCACATTCACGAGCCTCTCTGGACTTTCTGCAGCTACATGAGGCCCTCTCCAGGCAGACTTCCAGGGTCCTTCCCGGGTCTATTTTCATAGCTTCACTAAATATATTGTTCTTCCCTTTTCCTGTCTGCTTCCTCCTTTTCGTTTCTCTCTCCCCTCTCTCCTTGCCAGTGTTTTCATAGCATGGCTGATACTCACATGCCAGGCTTAGAAAAACATCCAAGACTCCTCCTCCTCCTCCTCCTCCCTCTGTAACCTCAGAATCTGCATATTTCTCTCTGTCTCCACTCTCTAACTTCTCCACTGTTTCTCCTCTTAGTGGAGACACAGAACCAGTGTGCAGGCTGGAGAGCTTGGGCGAAGCTTGATAAATGCATGATGTGGATGTTTGAAATTAGAAAAAGCAGAGGTGAAGAGACAAAGGAACGGAAACCCAGGTTGATGATTGTGGATTCAGGTCTAATATTAAGATCTCATGCAGAGCTATATGCACACTGTGTCTGCAAAACTTTTCAGACCTTAAATGGGAAATTATATTTTTCAAACTTGGGTCAATATTTGGGTTCAAAGCATTTTCATATGGAAAGTTCAGGAATAATTAACATGTCAGGCAAGCTGATCCTGAAATCTTCCTGAGTTGCTAGTTCACATCTACACCGTGCAGTGTGAGACTTGTGAGGGGGGGTCTCAGTAGGCAGGACATATGAACGTAGGACGTATGAAGAACTACGCGGCAATGGTGGAGACTGACATTACAATTACATTTTTTGACACTTTTTGCAATATCGTCATTAGAGTGGAGCGCTGGTCATGAGCCTGAGCTGCGTTATAAACACTTTCACCTCATGCCACTTGCTCGCTTGCAGTGAATTTTCCTGAATATTTTAGGAATCAAAAATGTGTCCATTTACACATGCAGCTCAGCAGTGTGCATGTGTAAATGCACCACACAGGAAATGTGTTATGGCATTACTTTAGTTTTACAAATGGTGAGCACTGAACACATTATTCAGGCAACACAACAAAAGATCAAAACAACAAATAGATCCAGGTGGAGGTGAACCGCCAACCTTTGTGTCCTGTGAGGTGAAATGATTGATGTAGTCTGTGTTTGTAGAGAGTGATGTTTGTGATGAACAAAAAGGGTCTCTATGAGGAATGATTTCTGTGATGTTGTCAGACACTCAGAACATCAATCTGAGCCGCTAAGTGACAAAAAAAAGTACTTATAGTGTTTAGTAGTGTCATAAAGCTTTTGCTGCAGAAATAAGAGCCCGTTTGTGTCTGCTGGCCGAAGATATATCGTCAGGGTATTCCAAAATATGTTTTATCTAACAGTTATTCAAACCCAGTTAAAAACCAGCAAAATCCCCTTTGATTAGAACACTAATATAAGCCCTGTTCAAGCAGAAAACACTGAACACTTTGAATGTGTGCTTCATCTCAACTTCTTCTGAGTGATCTTGCTCTGTGAAGGATAGATGAGTCATTGCTGCGATGTAAGAATTTTGTAAGCACATGTGCGTCATGATAATTGTATCCATATTAGAATTTCTGGACCCCCCCCCTCTCTCTCTCTCCCTCTCTCTGTGTTTGTTTGCCTGGCCCGGGATCAGGGGGAATTCCTCACAAATGTTTCACATCCAACATTTGCAAATAAACACAAAAGACAGGCTGTAGTCAAGTCATCAGATCAGAATAAAGTCCTCATCCCTCCACACAGCTAACCATGATTAAATGAATGAGGAGCTCAGCCATCCCCTGTGGACGTCACAGCGTTGAACTGGAAGACATTTTTTCAATTATGTTATCACTGATGATTTTTTTCTGATTAAAGTTGTATCCAATTCTGCACAGTTCACTGGGTGCAGAAAAGACTGAAGCTTTATTTTTGGATCAGTCTCTCTTACTAACAGCAGCCTGTTGCACCAGCTGGATGGAAGTTCTCTCTTTAGTTTGGGTGTGTGTGTGAAGCCATAAAGGCCCTGGCACACCAAGCGGATGGCAAAGAACGAGTGGCAACGCCTTTGTCTTGGCCAAGAAGTTGCACACACCCACAAAGACTACAGCCGACGGCCAACCACCATGTTCGTTCTGTGCATTCGAGAGAGGAAATAACTCTCCATGCCAGCAGGGGGCGGTATAGTCCGTTGCTATGATACAAGAAGACCATTTTCACACCGCTGTCGCTCACCACTCGTAGTCGAGAATAATGTCTGATAAAAAGTTAAAAATGGCGCTGGTGTTGTCAGCTCTTGGTCTTTTAGTGGAAAAAATAAATGAAGAGATAAATGAAACCTCTGAACAGCCAATCAGAGCATTTCCTCTCACCAACTGCGCTGACCGAAACCGACGCAGATTCAACATGTTGGACGAGAAAAGGCAGACTGGGGCTGATGGGTAGTGACGGAGCTGGATTCACTGATCGCTCACTGTTGGTCCAACGGGGACCGACAGCCGACGATCTCCTCGGTGTGTCAGGGCCTGAAGTTTAAACCCACCAACTGTATGAAGAATGGACGGCCCAACACCTCACTTAGTGAAGCAAAAATATTTGGAGCTTCCTATGTGTTAAACAACTTCATTTTTTTTTAACAGGCTATAGTTTGCTCAGTTTGCTAAATATGACGATCTGCTGACATCACGCTCGCTCATGATTGTGACCTCCGCCCCTTTTTTGTGAACATGCTTCGTAGAAACTCTGGGTTTACTTATTGATTTTTCTAGCTTTGTGTGATCTTTTATTGTGAAGCCAGAAAACCGTTAAGTAAGATTTGTGCGATGAATAAGCAAAGTATTGCAGGTCTGGCCAACCCGCGGCTCTTTGCCCAGTCTCATGCTGCTCTTTGCCCAGTCTCATGCTGCTCTTTGCTCAGTCTCATGCTGCTCTTTGCCCAGTCTCATGCTGCTCTTTGCCCAGTCTCATGCTGCTCTTTGCTCAGTCTCATGCGGCTCTTTGCCCAGTCTCATGCTGCTCTTTGCCCAGTCTCATGCTGCTCTTTGCCCAGTCTCATGCTGCTCTTTGCCCAGTCTCATGCTGCTCTTTGCTCAGTCTCATGCTGCTCTTTGCCCAGTCTCATGCGGCTCTTTGCCCAGTCTCATGCTGCTCTTTGCCCGTCTCATGCTGCTCTTTGCCCAGTCTCATGCTGCTCTTTGCCCAGTCTCATGCTGCTCTTTGCCCAGTCTCATGCGGCTCTTTGCCCAGTCTCATGCTGCTCTTTGCCCAGTCTCATGCTGCTCTTTGCCCAGTCTCATGCTGCTCTTTGCCCAGTCTCATGCGGCTCCTCAGTTCATATAGAATTTTGTGTGTTCTTTTTTGTTGTTGTAACGTTAGGCCCATCCATTGTGTTTGTGTTAAAAATTGCCCTTGCCTGTCAGTATGAGGGCATGACAACATGTCTAATTTTGATGTAGCCTGCGAGCCAATCACAAAAATGCGTGCGAACCAATCAGCTTCGAGGGAGGGAGGGCCTTATTGTTGAGTAAACAATTTGTGTGAAACAAGCCAAGTTCGCTCTGAAAATGACAGGGAAAAAATGCACAGCAAAATGAAAATATGAAGATGAATACAGGACGTTTTTAACAGAGTGGGAGAGTTTATATTTCTTCGTTCAACATAATGGCAAGCCATTCTGCCTTATATGCCAGGCGTCATTAGCACATTTCAAGGCTTCAAATCTTCAGCGTCACTTCAGCTCACTCCATGCTAACATCGAGCAGGAATTTCCAAAAGGTACTGAGCTTCGCAAGCACAAGTTAACAAGTTTGAAAAATCAGGCAGAAAAGCAGACACAGTTGTTCCAGAAAATTACGACGCACTCAGAGATCGTAACGCTTGCATCGTATCAACTGGCTTGGAACATAGCACGAGCTAAAAAGCCATACAATGAAGGGGAGTTCATTAAAAAATGCCTCAGTGACGTGGTTGAAATCTTGTCTCCAGAAAACGACAAACTAAAACGAATGATATCAGACGTCCAACTGTCCCGCCACACTGTTGAACACAGAATATCGGACATTAACACCGCAGTTGAATCGCTCTGTGAACGGGCTTGTGGGGCTGTGCAAAGCTGACAACACATTTCCCGAGTTTTGGAATTTCCACTGCATCATTCACCGGGAGCAACTGGTGTCTAAATCACTGAATTTAGACCACGTCATGAAGCCTGTGATGGAAATCATCAACTACATCCGCACACACGCACTTAACCACAGGCAATTCAAGAATCTCATCACCCAACTGGACCAAGGGCTTCCAGGTGACCTGCCGCTGCACTGCACTGTGAGGTGGCTGTCTAAAGGCAAGGTGCTTTCTCGCTTCTTTGAGCTTTTGGATGCTGTGAAACTATTCATTGAAAAAAAGAAGGACAAGGACTTCCCGAGCTTTCTGACGCCAAGTGGATTATGGATCTGGCCTTTTTGGTCGACATGCTGTGTCATCTGGACAGACTGAACCTGGATCTGTAGGGTAAGTTAAAAATGCTGCCTGACCTGGTGCAAAGTGTGTTTGCATTTGTCAACAAACTGAAGCTGTTCAAGACACATATTCAAAAGGGAGAATTAACGCATTTTCGCACACTGCTAAAGCAAGCGGGCAAGCCACCAGCGCCGCCCTGAAAAAGCAAACAGCCAGATATGCAACACTGGTTGAAAACCTTCATGAAAGCTTTGTGACCCGGTTCCGTGATCTACAGCTGAAAGATTACGTTCCTCGTCGACCCGTTTAATGCAGAGACGGACTGTTTGAAAGCCCTGCTAGTCACAGACGAGGCAGCGGCCGAGTTGGAGATGATCGATCTTTGTGAGGAGGACCAACTGAAACCTGTTCTAAGTGAAGGGACCATTGAGTTCTGGAAGAGTGTGCCAATGGAAAAATACCCCAATGTCAAACGGGCTGCGCTCAAGCTACTGTCAATGTTTGGGTCAACATACGTCTGCGAGTCTGTTTGCTACCCTGAAACACGTGAAATCAAAACATCGATCTGTTCTGACAGACACACATGTGAAAGAATTGCTTCGAGTGGCCACAACGGAATACAAGCCAGATTTGAAGATGATTGTTCAAGGCAAGGAATGCCAGAAGTCCCACTAAGAAGAAACACGCATAGTAAGATAAAAAAAACAAAAAAAAAACTTTTCACGCATTTTGTTATTGACGCTATTGTAAATTGTTACATTTTTGTTTGTGGACTTGGTTGAACTGAGAGTTTGTGTGTGTGAGACAGTGCACACAATGTTCCTTGTTGACAGTGACTGGCCTGTGGTCTTAGTTAGTTTTAAGTCCATTTTTTTGTGTGTGTGTCTGTGTGTGTGTGTGTGTGTGTGTGGTGTGTGTGTGGTGTGTCTCTGTGTGAGGGTGTGTGTGTGTGTGTGTGTGTGTGTGTCTCTGTGTGAGGGTGTGTGTGTGTGTGTGTGTGTGTGTCTCTGTGTGAGGGTGTGTGTGTGTGTGTGTGTGTGTCTCTGTGTGAGGGTGTGTGTGTGTGTGTGTGTGTGTGTGTGTGTGTGTGTCTCTGTGTGTGTGTGTGTGTGTCTCTGTGTGTGTGTGTGTCTCTGTGTGTGTGTTCTGTGTGTGTGTCTGTGTGTGTGTGTGTGTGTGTGTGTGTGTGTGTGTCTCTGTGTGTGTGTGTGTGTGTCTGTGTGTGTGTGTGTGTGTGTGTGTCTCTGTGTGTGTGGCGTGTGTGTGTGTGCGTGTATGTGTGTGTGTGTGTCTGTGTGAGGGTGTGTGTGTGTGTCTCTGTGTGTGTGTGTATGTGTGAGGGTGTGTGTGTGTGTGTGTGTGTGTGTGTGTATGTGTGTGTGTGTGTTCTGTGTGTGTGTGTGTGTGTGTGTGTGTCTGTGTGAGGTGTGTGTGTGTGTGTGTGGTGTGTGTGTGTGTGTGTGTGTGTCTGTGTGTGTGTGTGTGTGTGTGTGTGTGTGTGTGTGTGTCTCTGTGTGAGGGTGTGTCTCTGTGTGTGTGTGTGTGTGTGTGTGTCTCTCTGTGTGTGTGTGTGTGTGTGTGTGTGTGTGTGTGTGTGTCTCTGTGTGAGGGTGTGTGTGTGTGTGTGTCTCTGTGTGTGTGTGTATGTGTGAGGGTGTGTGTGTGTGTGTGTGTGTGTGTGTGTGTATGTGTGTGTGTGTGTCTCTGTGTGTGTGTGTGTGTGTGTGTGTCTGTGTGAGGGTGTGTGTGTGTGTGTGTGTGTGTGTGTGTGTGTGTGTGTGTGTCTCTGTGTGTGTGTGTGTGTGTGTGTGTGTGTGTGTGTGTGTGTTCTCTGTGTGAGGGTGTTTCTGTGTGTGTGTGTGTGTGTGTGTGTCTCTGTGTGTGTGTATGTGTGTGTGTCTCTGTGTGAGGGTGTGTGTGTGTGTGTGTGTGTGTGTGTCTCTGTGTGAGGGTGTGTCTCTGTGTGTGTGTGTGTGTCTCTGTGGAGGGTGTGTGTGTGTGTCTCTGTGTGTGTGTGTGTGTCTCTGTGTGAGGGTGTGTCTGTGAGTGTCAAGGCTATTGTTGTTTTTTTATTTTAAATCTGTGTGTTTGAGAGAGAAATAGAGAGGAACGTGGAGGACGAGAGTGAGGCAGAGAGCAAAAGAGAGGTGAAGGGACAGGAAGATGTTCATGTGTGCCTGTGTGTATGATGTGGCTCTTTGCAGTAAGACAGCAAAAAATGTGGCTCTTAGTCTCTGACTGGTTGGCCACCCCTGAAGTATTGTAATATATCTTAATGCTCAAACTTTTAAATAGCTACAACGTTATGCAGATTTTTAAAACTGAAGAAGAGACGAACAAACAACTTTTTTAAATGTAAATGGTTTTACAGCAAATGTCTTTTGATGCAGATTTTGGGTATCAGGAGGAGCAAAATATTGTTCAGCTTTAGCAACGCAGCATCCACTGCATTTCTAGCTGGAGTCGATTTTTTCTTTGTAGCACTAATTTGCTTCCATTTGGATCTTTTGATTCATGTTGTTCTTTTAGCATGAGTGTTAAAAAATGTGGCTTCTGTCTGACCCTACTCAACAAGCGGGCCGAGCTGCTTGCTGTCAATCATCTGCAAGACAGTCGAGACTCGGAGGAGCGCTACACGATAAAAAGCTTCTGTTGTGTGTGTGTGCAGAGGAGCATGTTCATCAGCTGAGAGGACTATGTCACCACTTAAGAACAGAAACGTAGCTGAACTGTGACTTCAACCACCAAGCCAAAGACAGTCTGATTGTGATATGTATTATAAGACATGAATGTGTGGCAGTGTGTACATGTCTCTAATGTGTGTGTACCTGACACCTCCCGTTAACACACAGGTCAGCCTCATACGGTCCACAGGGCGTCCCGTCCATCACTCTGTCAGCCATCAGCACCGACACATCTCGACCCACCGGGCTGCAGAACAACACACACGGCTTTTCTGCTCACACACACACACACACACACACACACACACACACACACACACACAGAAAAAACTGAAATTATGTGTGAAGTGGGAAATGCTAATGTGTGCTTATGCTAAGTTCTGCATACATTTCTCTATTTCCCATAACACTGAGGGGTAACTCACAGAGAATGGGTTGCTGCAGCTTCCATTAATTGCGAACAAATTGCACCCACTGTCTGCTTCCTCTCAAGCTCTTCTTTACAAAGCAGAAAGCACAAATGATATTTAAGTGCAAACACGCCTTTGAAGTGCTGCTATTGCTCTCGTTCGCGTCTACCCTACCCTGACACACAGCTCCAACACACTCGCACTGTCAGTAAACTCAGTCATGTCTCTAATTATGCAAAATGTATTACTCAATATATTCAAAACGGTTAAGTTATAAAATAATTCAACCCTGTGCAGCATTTACCTAAAAAGAAAAGTGATAATATGTTTAAAATAATGTATCAGGCATGTTTGTTTCTGCTGTAAAATTGTACTTATTAATATGGGACCTAATGGAAAATGAAGCTTCTCTTGGACATTTGAGGAACCTGGTTGCTGCAGTGGTGAGATTTGTGTGTGTGTCTCACCGTCATTAATAACAGCAGTCAGCATGCTGCCCTTCTTCTTGCTGGCATGGCGGTCGTAGGAGAGACACTGCAGGTCTCTGAAGCTGGGGGCCCCCTTAGGACAGGGGGGGCCTTCACAGGCTTTGTGCTCCACGCTGGTCCTCTGACAGTGTCGCCCCCCAGGACCAGGACTGAGCGCACACACACACACACACACACACACACACACACACACACACACACACATTTGTTTTTAAGTTTTTTTTTCATCGATTATTAGTTACACACCTTTTTGTTAAAGGGTTAACTCACATCCAACATAACACAATAATACACAGTTACAAAACAAACAAACTGATCCCTCAAGGCACAAGTAACGCACAGACTCTGAGGTGTGTGAGTGTCTCTCAATAAGGTCTGCTATAACAACCTCTTATGGTTGAAACAATCCTTTCTGTTCTGTTGACAGATGTTTGGTATAACAATCTGATGTACTGGTTCACTAAGAATGGATTGCAGCCGCTAATAGCTCCAAAAATGTCCCATCATTTGATCCCACTAAAAAGTTGTCCTGCTTACAAGACTTTCAGTCATTTAGAACCAAATACGCAAAATTGGATTTCGGACAACCCAGGAATTTAAGCTCGTTTTTTAATGCGATGTGGAGAATGTTTGCCTACACATGCAATCAATTTCTCTCTTCCACATCCACAGACAAAAACACTGGCAGGCAGAGAGACGGACACACAGACGGGCAGTGAGACGGGGACATACGGAGGGTTGTCACATTTCCTCTGTCTGAACTGGACTCCTGTACCACAGGTCCTGCTGCACATGCTCCACGGGCTCCATGGACTCCAGTCACCATCCACATGCTGAGGGATGGGAGTCTTACTGACACACTCGCCTGTCCTGCACCACTGATACACACAAACACACCACACACACACACACACACACACACACACACACACACACACACACAGTTAAAATACACTTTTCACTGTCAGCAGGCTTCTTCTGTCAAAAACTGGCTGCCTGAAAAAAATTGTACTCTGGATGCACTGATCCGATACTGCCTCAAATAGATTGATTGGGTATCTGTGACAATGGGCTGATCTAATTCAGTTCAATGCTTATCTGTGCACATGCACATATTACGTCACTGTCATCAGTGTGCTTTTAGGTCCTTTGCATTTCGCTTGAGTGTTTTTTCAACTTTTGTGATTTTTCGGTTAGACTGAATTTACATTTAAATTTCATGTGGTGCTGGTGGGGCAGTGGTTAGTGCATCACTAGTCCCATGTATGGAGGCCATAGTCCTCCAAGCAGGCGGCCCATCAGGATCAAATCCCACATGTGGCTCCTTTCCCGCATGTCATTCCCCTCTCTCTCTCCCAGATTTCCAACTCTATCCAATGTCCTATCTCTCCATTATTGGCACAAAAAGCCCAAAAATAAAGCTTAAAAAAATAAAATAAATAAATGTCATTGACTTAATTGAATAGTTGGCTAGGAACCTCCCCGGTACAGTATACATTGTATGCATATAATTCAGCTCTCAGTAAACGAGGGTTCACTCAGACAGCAGAGGGTGAGAGGTGCCACTGGCACACAGAGTTCAGGGAAGAGTGTTGTCACAATGTAGTGTGTTTACTATGCTCCTTATATCTGGAATAAACTCCAGAAAACTGCAGGTCTGCTGAAACTCTCAGCTCTTTTAAATCCAGGTTGAAGACACACCTGTTTACAGCTGCCTTTCATTAAACAGCTTTAATAAGATTTTAAACTTTAACTCTGCACTGTAGCTTTTAACTCTTTTTATATTTTACTTTATTTATTTCAATTAATTTCATTGAATTATTTTTATTTGAACATATGTTCAGATTCAATAATTCCAGTGATTTCTTTTTTTAAATGTTTTATTTTAATGTTTCTTTTCTTTCCTCTGTCATGATGCTTTTGATGTCTTGTGTGAAGAACTTTGAATTGCCTTGTTGTTGAAATGTGTGACATAAATAAACTTGCCTTGCCTTTACATTTTGTTTATTTCACATATTGTTTAACTAATTAGAAAAAGCCTGATGCTGCCTTACACATAAACGGTTCACAGTGTCATCCTCACAGTGAAGAATATACAAGTTATTAATTAAACACTCATATCAGATCAAAAACTCTGTGTCAGCAGATAAAGCCTGGCTATCTGTGTCAGTATCAGAACTTACAAAGTTGGATGGGTGCATAACTAATGTGAAAATAGTTGTGGATGAAGTGAAGCTGTACCTTGTCTGCTCCGCACTCTGTCCCATCCAGAGGAGGATCCAGTTTAGTCTTACAGGTCGAGTCTCCTTCTACTAAACACCACAAACCAGCACACATCAAGTGCTGACACACACACACACACACACACACACACACACACACACACACACACACCCCTCATAAATATCAGGTTATTCTCATACCAATGTGGGTTAAAACAGCAGCATTGATGTCTATGATGACTTGGATGTACAACAACAGATCTGTGTCACACTTATCACAATCCTGCTTTACTTTTTCTCTCGTTCTCTAATCGGCTCGCTGTTTCAGTGAACGAATGGTCGTGTGTGACTTTAGTCTTTCCTCGGTTAGTTTGAATACAACATTTTGTAGCAACCAAAGTAACAGATGAACATAGCAGCAGATCAGCAACAACTTCTTTCAAGGGAGGCTTGTGACTTTTAAAAAAAGGAAATAAAAAGGCCTTTTTGGTGCAAAGATCCTTTCAGCCACTAGGGGGCTTCATACAGAACATATGTACACCTGTCGAGTTTGCATTCAAAGCAAGCCGCATGAAAAATAAGACGGAGAAGTCTGCGCTGCACTGTTTGCTTTAAAAATAGAATGTGTGCTTTTCTCTGCAGTGAAGGTAAATAAATGTTATGAACACAAACAGAGAATTCATGGAATGTTTTGAACAAGTTCAACCCTTTACAGACTAAATATACAGAGTACAAACATGTACTGATGAAGGTTCTTTTTAGTCTACTTCTATGTTTCACAGTGGAATGACATGCCTGGAGCTCAGCTGGACTGTGTTTCCTTTGCTAAGGTTATATAATTAAGTCGCGACCAGGTGGATGCAAACAGCAGCAACCTGCTTAATATCAGGCTTTAGTAACAAGAGGTCCGTCTGCTGGAATCTCAAGTATTTTTACAAAAAACAGGGATTACCACCTCGTGCTTGTTTTCCTCTGCCAACCAGTCCTGTAACAGTTTACATCCATCTGTGTTTCCCACACTACAACGGCTAAACTGCAGCAGAATAAGATGAACTTAAAGGCTTAATATGTAATTTTTGATCCAGCAGATGTCGCCCTTGAGCACCAGCATGACACAAAACAACTTGCGCTGCATTGTTGTGTTAGCATGCTAATGCTAGCGATCTTTATTATGCTCGTATCTTCACACTGCATGTAAATTTACCTGAAATGAGCGTGATCTAGAACACAGTTAAGCAGTGAGTACAGTATGTTATTCTTCTTTTCTCTAGTCCTCAATTAAACAACTTTTATACACGAGGGGAGGAGTCAGCCGGCCGTCCTGGCGATGTAAACAAAGTGAAGATAGGACTCTGAAAACTCTGAAAACATCACAGACAGTGGACTCAGGTGTTACACCCATTGTAGACAGTCATGACTCACAGAGTTATTTTCAGAGGATATGCTTGATTTATATTATATTTAAGTGTGAAAAATCACATAGAAAGAGAGGAGGGCCAGAACCAGAGAACTTCTCTCGGGTGAATTGTCAGCTTTTAAAGTTCAGTAAAATATGAAATCCTAAAACAATGATGTTGAATCAGAAAAAACATATTGAACTCCTCATATCAGGGCGCTGATGGCCTAGTGGTTAGGTCGCGCCCCATGTGCAGAGGCTATAGTCATTCAAGCACACGGCCAGGGGTCATGTACAACCTGCAGCTCTCTTCCCACATGTCCTTCCCTACTCTCTCACTCTCTCACTCTCCTGATTTCCTCCTCTTATCCTCTTACTGTACCTATCTTAAAATAAATGCAATAACTTATTTTTTAAACATGAATTTCTTTTAACCTTTTTTTTTAATGTCAGCATTTATACTGCTGTCCTTTTATGGAGTAACTCCTCGTATAAACCTTAAAAAATGAATCACACACCTGGTGTTGGGAGAGGCGAGCGTTACAAGAAGTGAATAATCGTTGACATTTAAAGCTTGAGCACTGATGAAGTGTGTCATACCTCCATGTTGTTACAGAATGTGGCGTTGGTTCCAAACAGGATCTGGCACTGTTCGTCCACACTGTAGTGCATGCCCGGCAGCTTGGGAGGAAGCCGGACCTGGTACCTGGTCCTGGGGTCTGTGTGCAGGAGGCAGACACTCGCTTTGGTCCTGTTTAGAAAGACACACAGGTCGTGGGTGTGCGATATAACAATAGTAGATCATGAGTGATTAGTTTTATGCTCCTACACAGACTCGTCTCCTGCTCTCTCTTTGTTTTCGCAGCAGAGCGGGATTCATCGCTGAACATGAAAACAAAACATAATAGTTATTTATATGCCGGTTATATGGAACTCTTTAAGGTATTCTTGTATGAGCAGAAGCATTCTTCAGGCTGTATTTGTTGTTGGTTGTTGCAATCATTGTCAGACTGTCAAGACGAGCATTTGTGATCCTGTTTCTCTGTTTGGCCTCGACAGTGTTCATGTTTGAAAATGTTCACTCCCATGTGTATGTGCGTATAAAGAAATACATCACTATTTGTAAAAATGGATTCAAAGTGGGAAGGTCTTCGTTGACTGGAATATCTATTTAATTTCAAGAATTAGACGATCAACTGAACATACTGAAAATAATGTAAATTGGGGGAAAAGGCTAACTACTTGGTGTATCCAGCCAACCAGCATGGACAGGAAGTAAAGGATTGATGTAATTTAGACAAACAACATGTCCAAAGGATTTTTTGCGTTTTTTTTGGATGGACGTTGGTTGACTTCAGCAGCTTCTCACCTGAGGAAGTTCTCTAGGTCATCGCGGCTGCAGGAGGACCAGGACAGGTCGCTGGGGGTTTCTCCCTTTCACCCACTCTCCAGACATGATGTGGGAGTGACCGGTGCACGTGGCGTGGTCGTCGTCATGGCTCATTCCCATGCTTGATTGAGACACAGATGCAGTTGTGTTAAAGAGAAGTAGAGGTGGACGGGAGTAAAGTTGTTGAAAGTTTGACACTTTTGGATACTACACACTTTTTAAAGCGATAAAGTCTCTGTGATTTTTAATGATCGATAGAATCAATATGTACTGAAACTGAGAGGTCACATATTAAACTCCTTCACAACAACAAGTCTCAGAGATCCCCAAAACAAGCATGTGAAGGTTCATGCCAGAAAACCACTCCAATCCTGTGTTTTAGCATTCCTATAAAGCCCTCTATTTTCAGAACAGGGTGTTTCTGGGTCTGTAGCTTTGAATGCAAGTGAGCTGTTTCTTACCACGCCCCCCTTAGAATGACCTGGTGGGCTTTCTTGCACCATGTCCACTTGTTGGGTAAGATGGTCATAAAACTCAGTCCAAGCTGTTTAAAGGAAGTCTTTTTCTCGCTGCACACTAAGCTCTAAGCGTCTTTATATCACTGTCTTGTGTTTTTTTATTTTTTTTTATATAATGTTGTCTTGGCTTTTAATTTGCTTGTTTGAATGATTTAATATAATATGTTGCCTGTAGGGGGTGCTGGTAGCCTAAGGGCTCAAATATACTTGCTTTGAACAACGCGTATGCGTAGACAACCTGCTGCGACATTAAAGTAAATGTTCACACACTTAGCCTAGGTACAACGCGTTTACTGGAGGATTCTCTCTAGAGGGCGCACCACATAAATCAGACTGCGTAAAACACCAAAGTAGAGATGATCTGGGGCGGCTGTGGCTAGAGTCATCTTCTCTCAACTGGAAGGTCGAGGGTTAAGTTTGCGTTCATTTCTGAGTACGTTAACAACCAACGCTCCAAACCACCGCAGGATGCGATGTGTAGCGTTCTCGTCCTTGTAGCTAAAAGGGAATATACTCAAGGCTTTATGGTTAGTGCGCGCCCCATGTACGGAGGCCGTAGTCCTTTAAGCGGGCGGCCTGGGTTCAAGTCCGACCTGTTGCCCCTTTCTCACTCTCTCTCTCTGATTTCCAACTCTATTCACTGTCCCATTTCTACAAAAAAAAAGCTTTTAATGTTTTTATAAATCACATTGAATTGCCTTGTTTCTGAAATGTGCTGTATAAATACACTCGCCTCGCCTTACTGCTGTTTCTCTGAGTCACTGGATACTGTGTGAGATGAACAAACCTGCACATTGCAGTGAAAGCACATCTTAACCATTACAAATTTGAAACATAACAACTGAGCAGAGTCAGAGAGCCTGAATGAGGCTCCAACAGAAATAGTTTACCCACAATGCATCATTGAATCTGTTCACACACAATGCATTTCTTGGAGACAGATAATAATATACAGCAACCCAGGGCGGAGTGTCGGGTTGAACAGGAGGATTCATTTGGACACTCTGTGTGTCTGTGTGTGTGTGTGTGTGTGTGTGTGTGTGTGTGTGTGTGTGTGTGTGTGTTTCCAACCAATGCCATGACCTACATTTGCAAATTAAAAACAACAACCTGTTCTCAACAGCAGGCACGGATTCAGAAAGTAATAATTCACAAATGCAGACTATTCTCCTCTGGTTCAAACTGAGCTGAATTGAATCATATTTATATATTTTTTTATATTCGCCTGCAGAGAATAGTGCAGTGTCTCTGACAACAGACAGGTTTGTTCCAGGTGTCTGACTTTACACATTGGTCAAAGAAAAGAGACACATAGAACAGCAAAACAGTTTTTAAGTTTTCACTTTACTTCAATCAGTGCTTCCCACAGGAGGACTGTGCAACTCTGGTCAGGGCGGGGAATATATAAAAGTAAATTAAATATACTTGAAGGATTATGTCATCCCTGATCCAAACAAAAACATGATATTCCCACAAACAGAGAGATACACCACTTTCTTTTAAAGGAGGGACATCATACTGTGTTTCTGCCCGCTCGCCTCATAGACTGTAAATATTACGTTAGCCTGCCTGGGAGCTGGAGTCTGACGTCACTTTCCTGCGCCGTCCACTTTGCCATTTCATTTTCGAGTTGGTTTGAATTATGATCACTTTTTAGCACGGCAAGTTTTAAAACGAAAAGCCAAAGACCTTTTCCTTTTCATTTGAATGATGTCATACAATATTTATACATAGAGAGTAAAATATAATGCAAACTGGATGACTGAATATTCATTTTAAATATAGGTCAAATAATGCACCTATAATCTGAAAGTTAAAAAGTGTTTCTGTTACTGTATTTTCATTTTAAAATTAGCTTTTTCATTTGAATTATGATACAGATGTAGCGGGGCATTTTTTGAAAACGATAAAGCAAATGTAATTTTCTTCCTCATTTTAATTTATTTAATTTTTAATGTGCATTTTTGAAGTTGAAAACTAAAATTAAAATTAGATAATCATCATTTTATTTTTGAGTCAAATAATACACTCATTCTAAAAATTAAAAAGCATTTCTGTTAATGCATTTGAATTTTCAAATTAGCTTTATCGTTTCAATTTTGATCACTAATCGCTCCCATACTTGAGTGCTCTCAAACTTTAAGTATGATATGCAGCACAGAGAGAACATGATTATAATTCTACTGACTTTGTGGCTCATTTTGAGTTGTTTCATTTACATCAGCCCTCTTAAAATCCTGGATTTCTCCACTATGCAAGACGGGGACCGACTATACATCATGTCCATGTCACCTTCCCCATGATTGTGCTCATGCATGAGCAACTATACTGTCCCGTTCTTGAGCACAGTATGGAGCACTCACACTAGTAAAAAATGATCTGGACTTTGGGGGTCAAACATGCTTGGGAACAGTACAGACCTCCTTGTTTAAGTGCACCATTAGCGTCAACTTGAAAATGTATTTTGGCAGCCGTAATGGTTGTGTTTTACCTCTACGATTGTGCTTGAAAATCCCACTGGTAATAGTAAACTTAGTGGATAAATATTTAGAAACAGCCTGTATAGGTGTATATTTATGTGTATCATAGTGTTCATCTCGTATAACATGGTGTACTGTGTCTGTGAAACATAGATCCATTAAAACCCAGGACACGATGCCAGCCTGAGCTCACAGTTTATACGACCGCATTAGCTCGTTAAAACACACACAACACAATAATTCCATTTGTGTAAGTTATGGAATAAGTGTCACATCAGCACACACTGGTACACACACGCACGCACGCACACACACACACACACACACACACACACACACACACGCACACGCACGCACGCACACACACACACACACACACACACACACACACACACTGGCAGCATCAGAATCAGTGTGTGCCAGCCTGGTACCTTTTCTGGCCCACAAACCTGGAACAGCAGAAACCGTTCAGTAAAAGTGTGTGTGTGTGTGTGTGTGTGTGTGTGTGTGTGTGTGTGTGTGTGTGTGTGTGTGTGTGTGTGTGTGTGTGTGTGTGTGTGTGTGTGTGTGTGTGTGTGTGTGTGTCCTGAGGGGGTCGGCACAGTCTGAGCTGCTCCAAAGCTTCACACACTTCATTGTGATTCTCAGGTGAACGTGTTCCTGTGCTGTCAATGAGGGATTTATATGTAGACTTTATGTTTCCAGGTTTTAAGCACAAAGTCATGAACAGACATGAATGTGATAAGAATGCTAATTTACTGTAGGGGCGCCATGAGGGAAGCTTCACAATCATGTATTAGTGATCATTCATGTGTTATGTCTTTATTCCTGCACACACACACAGGGACTGAAACTGGAGATTCTGCAAAGTTTAACCATTTCATGCATCGCCTTAAAGGTTTGTTAAAGGCTTTATATATTTTTTGATCCAGCAGATGTCGCCCTTGAGCACTAGCATGAAATCAAAACAACTCGTGCTGCATTGTTGTGTTAGCATGCTAATGCTAGCGATCTTTATTATGCTCGTATCTTCACACTGCATGTAAATTACCTGAAATGAGCGTGATCTAGAAACACAGTTAAGCAGTGAGTACAGTATGTTATTCTTCTTTTCTCTAGTCCCTCAATTAAACAACTTTTATACTCGAGGGGAGGAGTCAGCCGGCCGTCCTGGCGATGTAAACAAACTGAAGATAGGACTCTGAAAACTCTGAAAACATCACAGACAGTGGACTCGGGTGTTACACCCATTGTAGACAGTCATGACTCACAGAGTTATTTTCAGAGGATATACTTGATTTATATTATATTTAAGTGTGAAAAATCACATAAAGACTTTAAGAACAAGAGGAAAGTAGAATTTAAGGGAGCTTGACAACGTGGTGTACCCAGTGTTAATTTTATGACTGATAATATGTTGATAAAAGTTTTTTTTTTTCCTTCCAAATCTTTTATTTTAAAGCACTTTGTGCATCTGCTCTTGAAATGTGCAATACAAATGAACTTTACTTCCTTACTCACATTTCGCTGCCTGCCTTCCTGCAGAATGCATTGCAAAAAGCTTGCAGGGCACAAAAGGCTTGGTGGCGTCACTTTAACATCTTTCTTCCCTCATTATGTCAACATCGTCCATACAAAGTAAAGCAATGTGACCACAGACGTTTTGAAATGAAATCAAAGACGCGCCCCACCCCCACCCCACCCCACCCCACCCCACACACACAGCAGCATGTGGACAGTATAGAAGCAGTCTGATCACACCATACAGGGTGGCAGTGAAACCTACTTGTGTCCCAGCTCATGAGCGATGGTGAAGGCCAGATTGAGTCCGTTGTCCTCAGCTAACACACACTTCCTCTTCGCACTGCAGACTCCGCCCAGATAAGCAATACCTGAAAAACACAGCAGTGTATCAGAGAGCTGCAGATTGAACAGTAACAAAAAGGGTTTGACATGAATGGACGAGGTAAGGTTACAAGCTGAGTGATGCATTCAATGTCCACGAGTCTCTAGGTCATTTGATGTATTTGTACATATTAAAACACATAAAATCCATTGACTAAGAAACAAAAAAAGAGATGTGTCAGGAGAGGTAAAAGACAGACCTCCACTTTATTCAAGCTAAAAATAAGGATAACAACATTTTAGAAAACTTAACAAGACACACGTGTTTTTGTTGCAACAGGTCTAACCCCCCCTCCTCCCCTATTGGCTTGAGAACTGTGAGCCAGTCATTGTGTGGATGTGATTGACTGAGAAAATTCAGAAACAACCTCACACTCCCCATAGTTTTCTCGCAATCAGGAAGATAATACCTCGAGGAAACTTTCTGACTTGTTGACATCGCATATCCTGAAACCTAAGACCCTCCACCCCTCCCGTTGGACAGGGTGACCCCGCCCTGTCATACTTAAATGCACAAGTGTTCCTGGCACAGAAGTAGATATGTTTGCATATTTGTGGCAGTATCAGCAGCTCTAATTAGAATAAATGACCTGCCGTAGTTGGTCCTACATAAGCTGCTCAGATTGTCTTTGAATGACACTGGATGCTGGCGGCAGGCAACAAAAAGCCTGTGTGAATCAAACAAAGCGTGACAGTGAGGTCAGAGCGTGCCTGAGATTTTCTGCAGCATCAAAGATCCGTTGAAGCCAGCACTTCTGAGACTAAAGCCCCTGCACAAAGAGCTGCGATCCACAGCGCTGCGTTATCTGGTGCTGGCTGTTGACCCGGCGTTAGGGGCACGCTGGCTGATCAAACAGTGATGTGGCTGGCTCACAGAGCTGGCAACACATCCAGCCAGACAGCCTCAAAAGAGCCATTAATCCTCATCAGGCCCCTACACACTCACAGCGCCGCGCGGGCCTGCTAGCGGCGCAGGGCCGGCCATTTATGTTGGGCTAATTAGCCGTTACAACATGAAGGGCTTTCCATAGAGCTGCTGAATCCTGGACGCTCGGCGCTCCAAGTGATGACAGCACAGGCCTGAGTCAGCCTGAACGAGATGCTTTGTTCACACACGCACGCACGCACCCACCCACCCACACACACACACACACACACACACACACACACACACACACACACACACACACACACACACACACACACACACACACACACACACACTTGCACATAAACACTTGCAAATACTTGTTCACCGTAAACTGACCCTGGTGACTTTTATGTCACATTGGCCTCCCCTGTGATAAGCACACTCAAACACACACATTTGTTCAGGGGACCCCCCAACAACACATTCATTCTTTCAGTGACAGAGCCGTACATCCTGCATAACACACAGTGCATTATTGTCGACTTGCATTGGGTCATCTGTAGGAAAAGCTAGAAAACCCTAAAAAGTGAGTCTAATGTTTGAGGCTATCTGCAGATGAAAGCTCCGCCTGATTCTAACTTCACTCAGACATGAGATCATGTTTGTTTGGGAAAGAGATGCACTGATTGTGAAACTCAAGGCAGCTACTGATGTTCAGAATAACAACGTAGCTGACTGAAGATTCTGATATCAATGTTTTAGCATTGTTTTTACGGTTATTGTTTTTCCAATGAGCTGTGAGATGTGATGTATTTAAATAGTTGTCATTAGTCCTTCCTTTTCAAATGTCACTGGAACATGAAATACAAACTGCACGTTTCTGATATTTCCCTGAGATGATGTAAGACTTCCACACTGATAACTTTGACTTTCATGTTTAAATACCTCTTCTCTGAATCAGGAGTTAGGTGTACTAGCTTTTCCAGCATTGAATTAATGCAACATGACAGAAACACATCAGCTTATCATCAGCGTAAAGCACATTATTTGCAGATGGGCTGGTTGTCAACAGGGCGACATCAGCCGATACAGATGTTCAGTTGATACATCACTGCATCTGTAATTTGTGATGATCCATTTATGAAGATGATCCTTTCAGATTTTTTGATCCTTGTAACATTCTGCCAGACAAAATCTAGACTTTCTGCAGATGTCACAGATAAATCTACCTGACTCGTTGATCAATCTTTACACTGACCATCAGAATGTTATACTGGAACTTTTTCTCTTTTATAGAATCTACAAAAGAATCTGTGCACATGGGTCTGTATTTTCAGCATTTGGAGTGCTCTGGTTTCTGTTTGTGGTACATTTGTAGAACCAGCTGTATTGACCAATTACGTTTCAGCAGTCGTTTAGTGTACAGGAGAAACAGTCTGTGTGGACATCAAAGCAGGCATAATCCAATCCGCACTAATGACATACAGGCTCCCATCAGTACTACTTTGACAATTATTTCTTCCAAAATAGATCAAACATGTCTACTTGAGTGACAAATCTGCCTAACACTGTGTCTCTAAAGCCACTTAGCGTTTAGATCTCCTGACTAAATGCTTCAGAAAAAATCAATCTGACCTCCTTTCAACCAAACAAATAAGTCTCTAAGTTATTTTCTTCTGCTCTTGAGGATAGACGTGACAAAGCTTGACTTTTAAAGTAAGCCAGAGTGCAGCCCATGTGAAGCTACTATCTACTGTTGAACTGAGAGTCATGAGAAAACAAATGAACGGGCACTACTCTGGGAATTGTTATGGACAATATAATAATAATGTAACTATAATGATTCATCAGTGTAAAATCGTTGGTTCTGCTGCTGCCCTGCAATGTTCTGATGTTTCTCACTCAGGAGATAATCTGAAAAGTCACCCATTTTAAACATTTAAGGTCCAACCTGTCAGATCTGCAGAAATGATCACGTTTGATTGTAATTATGTAATAGCCATTAATGGACAGTGACCTGTGGATACGACCTTGCATAGTCAGTACAGACTTAAGTGTAATACACACTAACTCACATACCTTACTTAGACACATAACTAAAATAAATAAGGTCACATAATCTACATCTCTATGCACAAATAAGTCACTGATGTGTTCCGGATATGTGTTCAGTACAAACAGATAAACCAATGTGATACATCAATCTGTTTATTTCAAGAACATTCCAATAATCCAAACAAATGTTCCATTAAAGACTGATTCTGAAAGTAGCATTCCCTCAGTGCTCTGTCTTCACCAAACCCCTCCCCTAGGTGCTCCCTCAAAAGCCACGCCGCCTCATTACATGCACGAGAGCTGTTGCTCCAGAAGCGGTACTCAGCACATCGCTTGCAATGTGTAGAACCTACATCGTATCATTTCTCATTCAGCGGTGAGGAAACTCACAGTATTGAGTCCGTCATCGGTGACGCACTTTGAGTGTGGGCTAGTGCACGCAAGGGGTAGAGAGCGAGCAGGGAGACAGGGAGGCGTGTGATTGGTTCATCAGATTGGTACCTCTTGGCAGACACTGGTCCAAGTTTTCACAGGCTTACTACTGCTACAGAAGACAGATTTTCTTTGTTCCTTTTTCAGTGAGTTATTAATTTCTGTCAGGACCTAAAGACAATTTACACCAAAATCTGAAAAAAATGTATCTGGAGAAAATGACCAACCCTGCCTTTAAATTAAATACAATACAAAACATATAACAAATAAACTCAAAGTAAGCTCCCATATGCTGAACGCCGACACGGGCAAAAACGTGTATGCCTTTAATTCACACCTGGCTCCAATTACCTGGAGCATGTCTATATGCTTAGCATAAGCGAAGACTCCACCTACAGTTCAGTATCGGAATTACACTAATTATCACATCGTGTTAACTAAGCTCGTATGCAGAGACAACATGGTGGCTATGGCTCAGGGGTTGAGTCAATCAGAAGACTGGCAGTTTGAACCCTGGTTACTCCTGTCTTCATGCATCATTGGGCAACATACTGAAACAAGAGTTGCTCATGAAATGTTTCCATGACAACAGTGGGCAGTGACTTATGGCTTACACAGAAGCAAACCAGGAAGGTCCTCAGTCAGCTGCTGCTCCTGGAGTAAATGATAGCAAACTCAAATCCATTCATCCAATCTACAACTCTGTTTACTCTGGTGAGCAACTTCTACACTCATAAGGACACTTTCAGCCGTTTGCAGATACACTCATGAAGTGTATAAAGCAGATAACCTCAGACCTCCCATTGACTCTGAAACAACACGGTGTCTGTGTGTTGTTGTATCTCTGCTCGGGCTCAGTTCAGCGTCACCTCTCAGCATAAAGTCAACCGTCAGTCTCCAGTCTGGCCTTGTTTAACATCAACATCCCATCGAGCCCTAATCTCCCAGTTACATATCTGCTCCAGCAAAGCAAACACAGGAAATAGGATACTGCTACAAATACTACTGGACCCCAGTCCCACCCTCCTCAACCACTGACTCAAAACTTCTGCTTTGTCTTTTTAATTTTAGACCTCCATCAGTCAGCTAATATGAGGACAGGGCTCAGCTTTTTTTAAATATCTCCTATCAGTCAGCCTGTATTGTCTGCTGCTGGAGAACATTATTAGAAAATGGTTTAAACAACCTGGAAAACTACACTCTGTGTCCTTCCAGCAGCAGTTATGACTGCAGGAGACAGGAGACAGTTGGCTGAAATGATGGAATATCAACCCAAGTGTTTGATGTCAAACTTGCTGAAAACCTCACAACATGTTGAGTTTCTTCACACACTCTTGGTTGCAAAAAGCTGCTCAAACAGCACAGACGACCTGTGCAGAGCTAACACACATGAAGTTAAGCATCAAAGGTCCCTCTGTCGACCAGAACTGTTTCTCTGCATCATCAGCCACAGAAGACTTGATGAAGGAGAAAAATCCTCTTTTTCTCCTTCTGTATGGTGCGTCATTTTCTCACACACCATACATTACTATTATGGACTTACTGCCCACTAAATTAGCCCTCACTCATTGTTTATTGCAAGTGGCAAAGCATTCTTGGATACCCAGCATCTGGCTGACGACGCCACTT